AAAGTAATTGTTGTAGGAAAATTCTTTGAAATTTTATAGGAAAAGATGCGGTGGGAATTTGGTGAGAAATATTTCTTATAATTTTCTGCGAAAAGTATACCAAAAGAATTTCGTAGAAATATTTCTTACCAATTTCTTACGAAAGATATTTTGTAGGTTAGTCGTAGAAAAATCGTAGGTCTTAATTCAAGATGCAACAAACAAATATTTCCAACCAAATAATTATGATGAACGAAAAAAAATATATTCCTCCTTTTAGAGGGTCGAACATGCGATCTTAACCTCTAAGCATCTCAAATTTACAAGCAGATCTTACTAATATTTTATAACAAATGCGGCCGATTTAATAAATATATCTTGGAGCGGCTTTGTGTAAAACCCAGATATGTCAATATAACTCTAAAACGACGTCATTTACATATAGAGTTCATACTTCAGACAAGTCTTCTCGAGTTTCTTCTCCTCCTGCCGATGAATATTGGTGGTGGTCTCAGACACATATCTGAAACTCGAGTTTGATCTTGTCCTCTCCACGAATCTTGGTGGTGGCATGGTGGGTTTTCTTCTTGTCAAGTAACTGAACTATCAGAGTTATGTGAGATATATGGTAGTTTTTCTCGGTTAGTTTTTGTTTAGTCTGAATACTTCATAATTTTTTTTACGTATTTCAGGTAATTTATATCCAAACCAAAGAATACCCAAAAAATTTTGGTTCCAAATCGATCATTCAATCTATTACCCGAACCAAACAGAAATTTAATCAGTTCCTATATAGATCTTAAACCTTTGATCCGAACTGCCAAAAAACTTGAAAGAAGCGAACCGAATACCTAACGCCCACGACTTAATTATCTCCTTAAACCCTTAACAAACAAAATAGTTACATCCTTTATATATTAGCGTGACATTTGTAATACCTCCTACTTTGATAAATGTCGTACTCATCAATTAGTTCAATCCATATAACTGTAATTTTTGTTATCCTCTTTAACTTTCCGCATTTAGGAATCAACAATTGCGTGGTCAAATCCAAAAGAAACTCTTTACGTGTCTGCACATTTAGATCCATATTCCGAAACGGATTTAGTATTTTAATACATAGTTTGACCCATCTTTCTCAGTAATTTATTTAATATTTTACTGTAATCGCATAGCAAAGATTCAAGACATTTTAATGTAGTATTCAGAGTACGATTCTTATCCCATTTTCTTTTATTTGTTAAGAAAAGAATAAACTTCATTTGTAACAACTTTGAAGTTATAATAGGAAACATTATCTTTAAATGATATACATTTTACAATAAAGATATTTGCAATTCTAATTTACATTTTCACAAATGGCAAGACAATCCCTTTAACCACGATAATTATCCCTAGCTCCACCATTAACAACTTGATAATCGTCACTCGTTTCATGAAAATTGTAGTGTGCTTGTTGTTAGCCTAGTAGAAACTACATGAGGTACGAGATATGTTAAGTTTGAGAAACTTTTCTAAGTTTTTCACTCATTTACGAAAAATTTATTGACGTTAATAAAACAAACATAAGTGAAAAACATATCAAAATTACTTCATATAATAACTACACATATCGGATCTATATAGTTTATAGTAAACCGACAAGAAAATGAGTTTGAACGATGTTGCGTGTGGCAGAAAAATATGATGGTCATGTTTTAAGATTTTAATTTTAAATTTCTGTTTTTCAAGAAAATAATAAAGATGAAACAAAATAACGTTTCTACCTTTCATTAAATGAAAAGCTAAAAAAAAATAAAAATTACTAAATGAAGACTAATGAGCATCAGACTCGACACATTTAAGTCAAGAGGCATGCCTACCATCTAACCAGCCCCGGCTCAAAGGGGTGGGGCGGAGGTGCGACGGCCCGGAGCTTTTTTTTTTTTTCTGAAAATTTTACATATAAAATAGGCCCAAATATTTTTTTAAAATATCATTAATATGAGAATTATATTTCAAGAGGTCTAATTCTTTATAAGAAAAAGTATAAAAAAGTCCAAAATTTTTAAAATAACAGTTTTCACTATAAAAATCCTTAAATTTTTGAAAACAATAACTAAATTTTGTTTATATATAATAATAGGCCAAAAAAATTTTTTTACCCTAAAGCTCCCAAATATATTGGGCCGGGGCTGCATCTAACCAAAGAAAATTGATAGCTATTTTTGATTATATCATTTACACACGAGTCTATCCGAAAATCCTTTAAAATTATTAAGCTTGTCCAAGGAGTTTTTTTAAAAGGACTGAGCTCTCTACTCACTTCTAGTTGAACCGTATCGATCAAATCCGATTCAAGAATCAATTAATCTCTTGGTCGATTATTATGTCCAAAATTAAACTTTATCCAACTCGATTCGAAATTCATTCTTTTTCAAGTTAAAACCCTATTAAATTCCTCAAAATTGCAAGTATAAACTCTGATGTAATTTTATGTTGAAAAAACAAAATAGCGTTTGTGTCATGTGTCTTTTTTTTTCTCTAACCAAAATGACGTATTTCATGTTTCTTCTATTGCTGTTAAAAAATTTTAGATACATATATTGGCCTTGAATGGTATGCGACTTTTTTTTTTTTGAATTTAATGTTAAATTATATTCAAAAGAAAAATAAACGTTTTCTACAACTTAATGCGATGCAACTCGAATCATTTTTAAGACATTAAAAAGAAAACAGAGTCTTCTCTAGAGCCTTGCTGCAAACCAAGTTTGGAGTCCGCTTGAAGCTCCTCTCCCTTCCATTGTGCTCAACCGATTACGGACATTTTTATCAATTAACTTGACGAGTATCTCTGTTGGTAAAGGCTGTTCACCGTGTCTCCTTCTGTTCCTCTCATTCCATATTGAGTGAATAGAGTTTTGAAACGTGTACCTTAGCAAGAAAGTCTTTGTCTTGTCGAAGCCCTCCCCTTTAAGAAGCTTCATGATCTCTTGCCAATGTTCCGAGAACTTATCCAACAGTAGCCCCAGAACCAATTCTTCCCAAATTGTCTTCGAGTACGGGCACATGAAAAACAGATGCTCTCTTGTTTCTATAGGTACCCCACAGAACACACAACTTGAGTTTACATTCTGCTTCCAAGTCAACATTCTCTCCCCTGTTGCTACTCTGTTTTTAACCACTAGCCATGTGATAAAAGCATATTTTGGAGTTGCAGCTTTGAACCATATCTCTTTGAATCCCTCCATCATTGGTTTCGAAGTGCGGATCTGCGCCCATGTTTCTTTGGTCGAGAAACTTTTGCGGTAGCTACTGTTTTTCCCTTTCCATAGGGCCACATCTACCTCATTCCCTCTCAGCTGCATTCTTGCGTTTTTAATTGCTTCTTCAACACTGTTTAGCGCTGCCTGGCGATGTTTTCTCCTTCTAGACATTGCCATCACTTCTCTCACTGAGCTAGATAGAGGGATCCCCAAGTCAATGCAGCCTCGCTCCCCTAGCTTCTCCTTTAGACATCCAAGGTCAGACCATGTGTCGTGCCAAAAAGATGTAGTGTCACCATTCTTAACTTCCACTCTATGAAATTGTTTTGCGAGATCACGATACTTCAGCAACTTTCTCCATATCCATGAGCCGCAAGAGGTGGTCTCTTTCACAGCCCAGAAAGAACCATTTCGGATTAGGTACTTGTGAACCCAGTCCACCCATAAAGAGCCCCTTGCAGACAACAAGCGCCAAATCAGTTTTAACATGCTTACTCTGTTCGCTTCCTCCAATGATCTCAAACCCAAACCACCTTCACTCTTTGGAGTGCATACCTCAGTCCACGCCACTTTTTCTCTTTTGTTATTAAGAGAAGGGCCTGACCACAAAAAGGCTGAACATATCTTATCGATTTGTTGAATGCAAGCTTTAGGGAGTCGAAAAGCGGCAATCCAAAAATTCGTAAGACTGAAGGTGACTGAGCGGAGCAGCTGCAGTCTCCCGGCAAAAGAGAGTGTCCTAGCTGTCCAGGAGCTAATTTGTGATCTTATTTTTTCCAAGAGAGGAGAATAATCTGCAGAAGTCATTCTTCTTGTTAATAGTGGTAGCCCCAAGTATCGTACTGGTATGCGACTTTTTCACGCTTTGCAAACGTAATTCCACCGTATACATACCATTTACAAAAACTTGTGTTTAATAATAAAACGTAAGAATAACAAACGTATTTTTTTCAATTTATAGTGCATATTTTAAAATTATAACTGAATTACGAAACTTCGTTCATCTACTAAATAATAGCTTTTTGGCGTTTTAAGACAAAATCATTTGTGTTAAGTTTTAAAAAGTTGGTGTTCTATCGATTCTTCAATTTCATAATTCAGGTATTCCACTATTCAACTATTTATTTGACATTTTCTTGGTGTGGAGGAAATTTTTTCAGATAGTAATATTATTAAGTAGTTACGTTGTGTCAATCTTCACAAGCAAGGTTCTATGGTGTAGTGGTTAGCACTCTGGACTTTGAATCCAGCGACCTGGGTTCGACTCCCGGTAGGACCTTTATTTTTGCATCCTATTTTATTTTCTCGTAGGGTAGGCCCATCTTGCCCATAATAATAATATATGGCCCATTTTCCATCCAATTTATTTATTATCCGCAGTTGCATCTAAACATAATCACTATAGGACAAAATTTGGAATGTATTAAAATCTAATTACTGAATTTAACTAAGTAGCGAAAGAAGCATTCGATTTAATCAACAAGCACTCTCTTTTCCTCTCTTTTGTTTCTTAATTTCATCATTGCTTCTACGAATATAAATAATTACTGTTTTATCTCATCTAAGAAGAGATGTATGTAACTTGCTACTCTGTTATTGACTTATTAGTTGGTTCCACTTTGGTTATTTGCGAATGCAGTGAATCAGTGATAAAACACACGAATCCAAATGCATTTTGGTTCATGACTTTATTGGCCAACTATTATGTGACTCACGATAGCTTATCCAAAGCTCACATCCTAGTACTCATCTCCTTATTTAACATCACATTATTCCACAAAGTTTCATACTCTATTACTAGCCATCAATAACAATCTCAATCACATAACAATAAGGAGTCCTAAAACACTTATCCGAGAATACTCTTGCAAGATCACTAGAGTAATAAAAAGGTTTTGAACACTTGCCAAGAGAAACACAAAAAGGATAAATTCAAATTCCAACAAGTATGATAACAAATCAACTTCATCAATCTTACTGCTGCTGAAAGCGTTTCATGAGGATCATACTCATATCCATGTAGCGTTGCGCACAATGAGTGAGGCAAGAACTCTCGCTCGAGCTGAACTTACTTCCCGGCGCGCTTGTGATGCATTTGTCCCAACACACACTTGTCATCTTCGCCACCATTTCATTCACCATTGCTCTTTCTTTCTCTTGCTGCCACACACACACACATTTTATTACATTTCACCAAACATAAACCCAAGAACAAAAAAATCGTTACTTTGCATAAACCCTAGAAAACCCAATTCAATTCTTGTAAACACATACTTAGAACACTAAATCTAAATTCAACTTGATTCTAAACCACACATGAAAAAAATCGGATCTTTAAAGTTTAAAGCATCCAAATTTACAACCTTCCGATTCTAATTTGACCCAGCAACGAAGATTCAAAATAAATGGTTTCTATGATTTCAGACAGGACATTAAACATATCTTCTACTTATAATTTCGCTGTCTAAAAGCTCAAAGTTGCCATGTGAATCGACTCAAAAGCTTTAAATTGAAAGAACAAAAACAAATCGGAGACTTACGGCGAGGAATTGAAGCAATTCTGGGTTGTTTGCCATGTTAGGATCCATGTCGGTTGAGTAGAGAGCGTCTCTGCTTGAAGAACAAGAAGAAGAAGAAAATTGCTCTCAGCGACTGAAATCTGAAACCCTAAAAAACTCAAAAACCCCAAAAGGATACAATTAAGTTCAAGAGACGCCGCTTACTTCGTTATTGGGCCAAAAGCCCATTAAAAGCCCAAATGTTAAATATTGTATCATATTCAGATCAAATATGTTAATTTTGTTTAAATATGGATCATGATCTGGGCCGAGTAGACGGATAGAGAGGGTGGGTAGATCAATGATTTTAAACCCGGACCAGACCGGATTAACTGCGAACCGGCAGTTATTCCGGTCTGGACTAGTCTTGAAACCGAATTCTTAAAAACTTGGATAAAACCGGGAAAGTTTGGCTAAAAGCTGCCAACTAGGAACTAGCGAGCGGTTGAACCAGCTATTTGTTGACTAGTTTATGTATTTTTTTTTTGGTAGTGTCAAATATTTTCTCTAAGAATTGATCTTGATTTGGAAGAATGTTGCTCTAAGATGATCAAAATGTACAATCTCCTACGAGTGATTAACTTTCTTTCTTTTTTGAGTGATTAACTTTATCTAACTTACTTGGTAAATTTAATATGTTTAGGGTAAATTCCCGCATTTGTTTAACCCGTTCAGTTAAAACTATTTTTTTCTACATTGGACAACCAATCAATAAATTATGTTTTAAGTAAAATGTATGTATGGTTAAGAGAAACAATTAAATACGAAGATGATACATGAACCATATCAATATGCAACCATAAAATTGACAACATTAAGTTATGCAACTTATGGCCTGTGTGTTGTGCAATGGCGCGGATGAGACTCATGATCATTTGTTCTTTCAATGTCATTTCAGTGGACAGGTTTGGAGTTTCTTCACTCGACGGGCTGGATTGACTCCACCTCCGCAGCTTATGGCCTCCCTCCTCTGGTTGAAGACAGCTTCAACGTCTAAGAATCTTTCACTTATCATCAAGCTTCTCTTCCAAGCCTCTGTGTATCTTATTTGGAGAGAAAGGAACCTTAGGATTCATTCTAGCAACTTTAGAAACCCTCCTCAAATCATAAAGGAGATTCAATTGCTTGTTAGAGCTCGTCTCGATCCTCTTTCTAGGTCACAATCAACCGCACCTCTGGGATCTTCTCTCCTCGTCACTTGGTTTGCGCTGTTCCAGGACTAAGTTGGATGCCTCTGGTTTCAGAAATCGTTTTTTTTTGGCATGGTTTGCTTCTTGCTTTTCGGGCCTGCGTGCTCTTGTTTTTGGGCTTCTATGCCTTGTAATTTTTCTTTTGGGCCTGTGTGCTCTTGTTGGGCTTTTTGCCTTGTATGTTCTAGTTTTTTAATGGAAATTTAAAATTAAAAAAAAAAAAAAAAAAAAAAAAAAAAAAAAAAAAAACATTAAGTTATAAAGAAATGAAACTTTTCATCGATGTATGTCGTTGCTTAACCAATGTCGCTAAAATCATCAAAATTTAAACTTTAAAGTAAAAAGAAGATTGAAAACAAACAAATAAAGAAAATGGAAAGCCAACATCTTCGAGGTGAAGAAAAGTACCAAATCCAAAATGCTGCGTGGGAGGAGTAAAACATATGATTCTAAATTGACAAATTTTATGCTTTTCTATATCCTTTATGAATATAAAACAAATAAAGCTTTGCCTAGTTTAAACACATGAATTTTCGGTCTAGAATTAAAGCTAGATGTTAACAATTTAAAATATTATCGGGCATATATAGCTAGTTTTGTATTCGAATTCAGGTTCAGCAAAAGAAAGCTGATGAATGCTCTCTTCCAAGTTAAACTAATCTCAATTCCTTAACAATGAAACAATCATCTTTTATTCATTTCATTTTCTTATCTTAGTTTTTTGATAGACAAATTATGTACCTTTATTTCTAGTGTATAAAAGATAACAATATACAAAAAGGAGTACTAAACCTAAAATGCTATTTGTAAAATTCAAAGGCTGATGCTGGAAAGTTGAAGCAAAAAATTAGAACAACTTTGGTTTGGTGGGCTTTGGGAGCTTTATTGATCCAAGGAAAAAAAGGAAGGATAAAAGGCAAAACCACCAGTCCAAAGAAAAACATATATACAATAATTTATCTAAAATAATTGAAATTAAAGAAGTGCATGAGAGTAGAAAATTGAGTCAGACCAACAATCTCATAACTTACTCGTTAAGTCAGCTTCTCAAATCTTTAAGTTGGGATCGACTTGGACTCTCTTTCAAATTCACTTTTGTTTTCTGAATATACTTTCTCTTATTTTTCTTATTTCTTAATCATTGCTTATGCATATTTACTTAGATTTCTTGTTTTAAAATTTGTATCGTACCCGACATTATTATTTCACATGCGACTTGATAAAGACAAAGAAAATTCTGATTCCACGATGATATTCGTTTTCTTTTCCCACGCATAAATTTATACGAAGAAATGATTTTATCTACTATGTTTTAGGTTGAACGTCCAAAACTTTTCGTTTACCAATATCTTTTATGTACACTCACTTCTTTAATACGTACTACAAAAGAACCATATGTTTTTCGATGGACAAAAATGTAGGAACCTTACACATTTTTACGGAACTAATATATAGGTTTGTTTTGTTTTTCTTATATATAGTATATGCATCAAAGTTTTTCAAATGTTAAATAGTTCGGGGTCAATTGTTAGAAATGTGCTCGTTTTAGCTATTGACTATGTTGTATGGTAATGTTAAACCTTGTTTGTTTTGGTACTCGAGAAAATAATAATTACCTTTGCCAAAAGAAACGAAAGAGAAATTAATTACCTTTACCAAAAATTAAAGATATATTTTTGAATAGAAATCTTAACAACGTTGACTGCATGGGTACATGCACCACAATTTATTATGATGATCCTCGCATTTAAATAAACAAAAATAAACCAATCTAGCTAACTCCATCTCTGAATTTGCAGTTATCAAAATTTTTTTATCTATTTATCTCTTGAAATTAATAGTACTACGTAAAAAGTATCTAAAGGAAAAGTAGAATCCGCTTTTGCCAAACTAAAGGTGACACACTCTTATAACTTATAAGTATATAAACAACCTAAACCAACACACAAAGGATACTGATAAGCAAGCAATGGACATTTCTGCGCAGAGATTTGCTATGAACGGAAGAAGCATGAGACTCCCTCCCGGGTTTCGGTTTGATCCCGATGATGAAGATCTTGTGTTCGAGTATCTCGCCAAGAAGGTCCTCCACCGTCCAATGGACTTCGATCTCCCTGAGCTCCGTTCTTGCAATGTTGATCCTTGGGACTTGCTAGGTTTACTACAAACTCTTCTCTCTAATTACTATACCATATATATCACATATTCACATGAAATATACTGAACAATGTGGTCTAATGGATGTTTTACGTACACGTAGGAGAGAAGAACAAGGAAGTGTATTACTTCGTGAAGAAGGAAGAGCGAGAGAGGAAGGGAAGAGAGACGTTATCGGGTTATTGGGAAGAGTGTGAAGAAGAAGAAGTAATGGAGGCTGGTGATCGTGATTGTATTCATTTAGAAGGAAGGAGAAAGACATTTGCTTTCTATATTGGAAAAAAACCTCGAGGAACAATAACTCCATGGATCATGTACGAATTCCGACTTCTTTCTTCTAGAGCTACAAGGTGGTTATCGTCCCCTCTACCTCGGGTGAGCCACTCATTGGACTTTAATCTTTTTTCTATAAGTTGTAAGTAATAGTTTAGAGCTAACTATATCAATGTTTTGGGGTTTAAAGGGTGAGGTAGGGAAATGGAGGGCGGTGAAAGTGGTGGTTAAGGAAGAGAATGAGGAAGAGATGGTGGAGGATGAGCACGAGTCTGACGAGTCTGATGGCGAGGAAGTTATTCAAAGCCGGTGACGACTGAGGTTGATGCCATATATATGTACTTGGTTTTGTGGTGAATCATTTGAATTTAGTTAGTAACTAAGTATTGTTAGAATATTAGGGAACATCTAAATGAAATATATATGCTTGATATTTGTCTTAATTATTGTCTTCCAAGCCCTTTGGAATGGAATGTAATTGAGGATGTGGTGAAAGATGCCACAAGTTGCTTTCACTCTCCGGTCTTATTTTGTTCTTGTCCAATTATATATATTAATGATCTGTTATCCTTCATCATTAATTAATATTTGATTTTGAATTCGAGATTTCTTTTTTTTTTTTTTTGGGCAAAAGAATTCGAGATTTCTAAGTATAGGATTTCTTAAAATCTATACATGGTTGTGATCGCATTTGATTAATTTAGGCTGATGAGCAATATGTATGTAATACTTTGCATGTACTGCTGGTGACGACGTATATTGATTGTGTAGAACAGTAGAAGCGAAGATTTACACAAGAGATAGTAAGATTAAACTCAATATAATTTCAATATATATAGTTTAACAATTTGATTTCACGCATACTTAATTGGATTCAATTATTACTAATACATTTTTTGTTTGTAACCAACCAATTCCATGTTGAACAAGAAGTCTTTAGACTATCTTTAACCATCACAAAAGACTTTCCCAGTTTATTTTTCGGGATTTTTTTGACTATAACAAATAATCTTACGATGATGTTACGAGTCTTATGACCAATACAGTTATATAGACATCAAAGTTATCTGCAAATTCAAGAGAGACAAACTGTTAGTCAAACATGACAATAAGAATGAAGATGTCACAAAGATAAGAACCAACTCATGTATTTGCCTAAATAAATCACTAGTTACCAAATTTAGCAAATAAATTGTAACTAACCAATCACCCATCACACAATCTCAACCCTTTAATAATCTCACATTCTCTTCCTTCTTCTTCTCGGATTCCTAAATATCATCTTTCATTCATCTTCCTCCCAATTAATTGGCTCTCTTCTCTCCTCTCCTTTGCCTATCTTTTACAATCTTCTCCGGCCACCCACCCGCCGCCGTATGATCTTTTTGGTGGCGGCGATTACACCATCAATTTGTTAGTTTTTTTTTATTAATATGGGTTGCGGTGGCTCGAGACTTGGGGGTGTGGCGGCGACTAGGGCGGAAGAAGGCGGTGTTGTGCCACTTCCAGCGGGAATACGTCCGCTTCTCCGGCGAAGGTTAGAGGAGATGAAGAAACGGAGCCATGCAGGCGTCTTGAAAGGGAGCCAGACGTTGTCTAAGAAAGAGCTTCTTAGGCATAACTCTTCCGAGGATGGAGAAGACACGGAGGAAAACGACGGTAGCTTGAAGTCGTCGGCTAAGGTGGCTCCGGCTCCTGATCATAGCGTGGAAGAGAAGAAAGAGGTTATTTATGAAAAGATTCCATCCAAAGATGATTTTAAAGAGGTGAAGGAAGAAGTGGTTGTGAAGAAACAAGAAGAGGAAAATCATCATCAAGATGTTGTGAAGAAACAAGAGGAGGAAAATAAAGAGGTTGTGAAGAAACAAGATGAGGAAAATCATGATCATGATGATGTGGCCATCAATGTTAAGAAAGAAGAAGATGTTGTTAAGAATCATGATGATAATGAAGTGAATATGAACAACTTTGATGAGAGAATGATAGGTCCTGGATCTCCAAGCTTTAGGGTTTATTGCGTCGATGTTCCTTCTGATGATGATGATGAAGGTAAATCATACGTTCTTTTACTATTTATATATGGATGCATCATGCATGCACGTATGTATATGTTTGTTAGAGACATATTTCTATATGTAGTTACGTTATTGAAACAATATATCCATTCACTATTGTAGAAAAAGATGGAGAAGACACGAGAAAGTCGATGGAAACCGAAAGCGTCATGACAGAGATAAAAGAGGTGATCAATCACATTAATTCACATTATTGATTTGATCTATAGTATGGTGCTCTCTAACAATGATATGTTTTATTTCTATAGGACGGAAGCATAGTCAAAAAGGAGAAAAGGGAAAGAAGAGGAAGGAGGTTCGGAATGGGATTGCCGAGGAAGTATTTAGCCAATGTTACTGCGCCGTGCTATGCCGGTGGAGGATGCATGGGGAACACTCATTCTCGTTTGGTGCAAGAGAAATCGAACCAGTGATATGTTTGCATGGACTGATTTGTTGAAGTAAGAATGGTGTGGTGTACGTACGGGAATGATGATGATTAATCAAAAGTACCACACCATGGAAACGATTTTAGACCTTTGATTTGTTTTAAGAGACGCTTGTTTCAGAATTTGTACAACCTCTTCTTCACCTTTGCTTTCTTTGATCAGGATAATTAAGTTAGTGTTTGACGAATTTACTTTTTTCCACGTGGAAAGATGTAAGTAATTGAACTTGTTGAATAAAAAAAGTGTTGTCTAAATGTGAAATAGATTGTTCAAACCAAAAAAAGAAAATTATTTACATTACCCAATTAAAATAAAATTTGACCAACACAGAGAAAATTGTTTATAAAAATACGTATAGGAAACTGGAATTGTAGAAGAAAAAAAAATATTGAAGATGTAAGAAATTGAAATTGTGCAATAAAGAAATGCTCTCTATTTGTAATATCGCAGTCCATCGTTAACACATTTCCAAAATTATGCCTAGACTTTAGTGTTTATGATCGTCTATACAATATGAACGGCAATAACCTTGCGTGAGGAGAAAATTAGTGTATACTAAGATTGAATAGCGGTGTCAAACCAGACTAACTTGTTTTAGTAGGCTAATATATTTAATTAATTTTATGAGTTTTGACATAGCAACCTATTTTAAAATGTGATTTTTTTTTTATCATCTAAATTTTATTGATAAACGTTTTGTGAAATCAAGATAAAATACATGTCCAAAAAAAAGAAATTAAGCCGCCAAACGACATAAATATCTTCAAAATTACGGCCGAAAACAAACGTGATTTTCTCGTAATCTAGTCCATATAGAAACAAAACTAATGACACTAAAAACACAAATATAGAGATTTTTAAACCTAAAACGAAAGAAGACGAACCCATTAATTAAAAACAGAAGCAACTAAGCTTAAACCCTTTAAAATACCTTAATCTCAAAAAACAATAAGACCTCTTTTTCTAAAACACATATGGATGAGATTTATGATCAAACTGAATTTGTTTATGATCATATTTGTTACGGTTAAGCCCATTTGAGATCTTCTGAATCTTTCAAGACCCAGTTTTTTTCAGCATACAAAAATGTCGCAACCTAATCCGACCCATAACTGAAGATGTCCACAACTTATATGCTTTTGGTCCGAATTGGTACATTTCTGTGTGTAATCCAACTGAAGCATCAATTGTAAGAATTTATCAAACTTGAATAACACCATTCTTTCAAACATTTATTTTAAACATTTTTGATGAAGAAACCAATAATAAACACTTAAAGTTAGTAATTGAATAACATTAAAATTCCCGACAAAAAATCAGAATAACATTTAATTTAGTCAAAATTAAATAACAATAAATTTAAGTTAAAATTAAATTCTGTTAAAAACTAGTACCAATCAAACTCTTCGATTAAAACCTTTTAAGGTTTTGCTCAATTCCATCACAATTCTTAGGTTATCTTCAATCTCAACTGATTCGTAATTGGATTCAGATCCAGACTCAAAAATGGAGTCACCGCACTCGAATCTGCTCCCTGAAGTCGATTCTCTACCCGATGGATTCGTCGACGGCGCAACAGACCCGCCTCTCAATTCACCAAAAACCCAGGAAGAAAATTGTATCACAACAACAACAACAAACCATGACACTGTTGCGATCGAGAAAGCAGAGAAGCCGAGAACTTTTCCAGTTCCGTTGTGTGAGACAGATGGTAATGAAGATGACGAAGTAGATGACCTAATTCGAGAATCAGAAAAGCTTAGCTTAGAGGCAGAGTTAGAGCAGAAACAAGAAGAAACATCTACTCCTGTTCCTCAAACATGTAAGAGATGATTATGAAACTTAATTATGAGAATTTACTTCTTTTGTAACCTAAAGTTTGATTCTTTGCTTTTTTGTTTGAGTTAGTATCAGAAGGGTCAAGTCAAAATTCAACCTTGTCTACGGAAATGGATTCACTCAAACCCAAAAAACAAGTTAGTATTTTGATGCGTTCTTCAATCTTGTTGCTTTGTGTTTCATTGTTGCTTTGTTGAAGATGATGTATCTGATATTTGTGCTGATATTGAAAGCAGGAGGTGGTTGAGAGCAAGCGTAAGGCTTCAAAGAATATGTTTAAATCAGAGAAAGAGTTTTTGGAATTTATGCTTAAGTATCAGCAAGTTCTTTCTGAAAGAGATTCTGGTAAATAGAGAATCAGTAAAACCAATCTAGTTTTGTGTTACCTTTCGTTGTTCTATGGTTTATAGTCTGTACTCATCATTATTGTTTTTTTTTCTCTTTGTTACTGTAGCTATTACTGTTCGTGACAAGCTTGAATCACTTTGTAGAGAGTTACAACGTCAAAACAAAATGTTGATGGTATGTTCTTTCTTTCTTCTTTTCGCTTACTCTACTTTGGTGTGTCTTGTTTTGAGAAGCTAACCTGTTGGTGTGTAAACTGAATGTTTCTTCGTATAACAGGAAGAATGCAAGCGGGTGTCTACTGAGGGACAGACTTTAAGATCAGATTTATCGACAAAGTTTCAGGATGCGATTAAGGTAAGTTGAATACATTTTTATTCGATGTGAACTCTTCCCAGGGTTTTGATCTTTGCTGGATATAGAAATTTGAGTCGTTTTGCCGTTGGTATTGGCAGTTCTAAAGAGGAATACATATCGTGTAATATCTTTGTTTTGTGTTCCTAAGTAGGCAAATCCTAAATGCACATCATTCTTGATCCTTTTTCTATTACCTTAGGAGATTATCTTCTTTAGTCGTCCGTTCTGTATGCTTTGGAGAGTCATGGAACTCTCTTTTTCTTCTTTGAGAAACCCTCTACACTAATATTGGCATGTTAGTATCGAAATCTTATAGACCTATTTAGTCCTTGGAAATGATTGGAACTCACTTTAAACAAAGTAGAAAATTGTCCATATTGGTTTCAAGTAATAGATTGATAGAAATAAGTTTGATGAATTGCTTGTAGGCTTTTTTGCAACATCAGAAACTTACAAAAACGAAATCAGAATATTTTACTTAATTAATTTTTTCTTATACTCTCTACCTTACTAATCCTCTTTGGTTAATAGGATGTGAGCATTAAGTTGGACGAGCAAAAGGATGAAAGCCTCGCACAACTAAAAGAAAATGAGATGTAAGCCGAAAGAACTCAATCATAACATTAACGGTTCACTCGTAGAGTAGGAAAATTCTAGTATATTTGATCATATGTATAGTTTTGTTGCTGTTTAAGTTGAAAAATCTGTATGAATATGCTCACTTACATTCTGCAAACTATATTCTTACATGCGTATCACTTTTAAAACGGCTTTGCTTGTGTCTAATTACAGTGGATTTGTTTCTAATAGTCCATTCTAATTACAGTGGATTTGTTTCTTAATCTCCAGGTTGAGGACGAAGTTGAAGCACCTGGCTGATCAATATATGCTTTCAGAACAACAGCATGAGCAAAGAGTATGACATATTCGTTTTTCCAACTATCTATGAAGCATCATTTAGCCAAAATAATTGGCTTAACTGTGATGTATACTTGACAACATCTCATTTTCGAATGAACAGTTGAAGCAGAAAACACTTGAGCTACAGATCTCTGCTTTAAAAATTAAACAGCACGAGGAGAAACTCATCCATGAACAATCTCAGATGAAAGTTTACGCAGATCAAGTTTCGCAGCTATTATCTACTGAGAAAAATTTGCGGTTGCAGCTAACTGCTGATGGAGATAAATTCCAGCAGTTCCAGGTCTGCACTTTTTCCCTTTTACACTTCCTAAATAAGTCTTTGTCGTCTTCTTGATTCATTATATTCACCGATAATAAGATTGCTTGATTTGAGTGTGATACAATACTCTTTTAAGATTTGTTTTTTGCTGATATTATACACTGTGAAAAGACTGTAAAATGAAAGACTGTTGGTTATGCAGGACGCGTTGGTGAAGAGCAATGAGGTGTTTGAAACATTCAAACAAGAAATCGATAAGGTAACAACATTTTCATTCCTTTAATGGTCTTTGAAAGATCATAAATGCCATTGATGTGATCTTATTAACCTGATCCCATCTCTATTGGTGTTTTGAGTAGATGTCCAAAGCAATCAAAGAACTTAGAAAAGAAAACGCATTCTTGAAGAGCAAAACCGAGAAGTCAGATATCAGTCTCATAGAACTCGTCGAAGAGGTAAATTCAATCAAAACTCTCACCATTTTTTGTGGGGTTTGTAGATTTTGATTATGAACCAGTGTAAAACCTACTCTTTTGGTTTAACATTGAACAGCGTGAAAGATTGAAGAAACAGTTGGAGAAGACAAAGAAACAAAAAGACAAGCTTGAATCGCTTTGCAGATCCCTTCAAGCTGAAAGAAAACAGAAGGAAACTAACAGTGCCGATTCTGCTGTTCAACCATGAATCAGAGAGAGACTATGAATTCAATTTTTTGCTCTTTTTTTTTTGTTTGTTTTTCAGAGTTTTGAACTAATTAGCACTTCAGATTACAAAACTACAATTAGACCTCAAATTCACTTTAAAATGTAGAGACATATCACATCATATTGATTCTGCTCTTTGCGAGCAAAGTCCATTTTATCTCACAAAATGCAAATTGATAATAGTTGATTCAGCTGCAGCTTCTGCAACCTGTGCTTCTCTCCAGGTTCACAGAGAAAGATTCTGCATTCACTAAGATCACAACCGATTAGAAGAATGTCGCAACCCGGGAAAGCTTCTCCATTGGTTAAGCAAAGAGACGATACTGTGGTTGCTACTCTGGCAAAGGTTGTCTCTGCCATTCTTGTTTTATAAAGCTCCTGAACCAAAACCGTCAACAAGATCTTACTCAGTTTCGATACACTCTTCATAACTTGAATATGAGATGCCTGACCAGCTGATTCTTTGCAATTATATATAAACGAAACCGAACCGTTTGAACCGAAGAAAAGTTAAACCGTATAGAATTTTGTACATGGATTATGATTCGGTTTGCATCTTTATGGATTCGGTTAGTTAGAAAATGCGAATCTCTCTGAATTAAAAATAATTATAACGTAAATTGGGTCACATCTCCTTTATAAACTTCAACAAATGGAATAATAATATTGGAAAAGAAAAAGTATATAACGAAATGTCAACCATTGATCATGACCAGCAGATATTAATCGGACGGCTCCTGTAAAATTCGATGAAGAAGAGAAGACCTACTCTCTCATATATTCATCTAGTTGAAATCATTTCGCTGTGTTTTTAGAACAACAACAAAAAAAAACAGTGCCCTTTCGCTCACGCTTTGAGTCGTATCTTCTTCTCTCTCGCTTTTTTCGCCGGCGTGGTTAGATCGTACAAAGCTCAGGTAATCATTTCTCTCTCCGGTACCGATCTACTCTGTTTCTCTGGATGTATGATTTTCTCTATTCAATTTCCGATGATTGTTAGATCTACGGGGTTTTTGATCCTTCGATTACTAATGATTTTTGTTTGTTAATCATAGAGAATGTTGGGAATCTTGAGGCAAAGAGCCATCGATGGAGGCTTGGCTGCTTCGGTATGAGGCTTCTTTACTCAGTGCGATTACGATTTGAGATTTTTACTTGGAGTTTTTAGGATCGGATTTTGTACTTTTTTTTTTTTTGTTTTTTTGGCAATTGTCTGATTTTCGAAATTTGGATTTTGATCAGACTCTTAGAAGGACGCGATTCGCATTGGTTTCTGCTAGGAGCTATGCAGCTGGTGCAAAAGAGGTAAAATGTCTTTTATCGAATTTTAGGATGGTTTAAGAGCGATATTGTGCAGGTTTGGCTATGTTTCGTCAATTTTTTTATGATCTAGGGAAGATAATTTTGGTCAATTTAGGATGATTAGAGCTGCTAGTATCTGCCAAACCAATTTTCCTCATCTATACTTTTCCTTTTGATGATAGTCTACTTAATGTTGTCCTCTGCGAACTATGTCGATTACCTTTTTTTGTCTTCACTGAAAGATCGAGTTTAGTGAGCTATATTGGATGTATTTGGTTTTGTAAACTGTGAGCATCTGAGAAACGCAAGGATTGATAATCATTGCGTAGATGTTAAGCCGTTTGACTTTCTCTCCTAAGTTCTGTCATTTAAAATGGTGGATTGATAGCTGACTCACTTAAGTAGTGTATTAACATTTTGGAATCCCAACAACTGTAGCTTAAGCTAGACTAATAATATATAGCTGGTAAAGCTGATGCGGCCTTCAGTCTTTGTCAATAATATATCTGAAACATCCTTGTATGTGGAATTTCCCAGAATATTGTAACATTGCTTACATTTTTGTGTGCAAATCCTTGTTTAGATGACAGTCAGAGATGCTCTAAATTCTGCAATTGATGAGGAAATGTCTGCAGATCCTAAAGTCTTTGTTATGGGTGAAGAGGTTAGTTGCAGCTGACATGTTTGATTTATTCATCTGGAATTTCTAATCAGATATCGATATCTCATCTTTTATCTGGTTATTGTAGGTTGGTCAATATCAAGGTGCCTACAAGGTTAGAATTATTTGACCTGATGGAAATAGATTTTTTCTAGTTAAATTTCTCTTGTTTTGACCCTGATCTGATACTGGAGGTCTATCATGTGCTCATAGATCACTAAAGGCCTTTTGGAGAAATATGGTCCTGAGAGAGTTTACGATACCCCAATTACCGAGGTTTGGATTCTTTTACTATTTTCTTGCAGTGCAGTCTTAATTCTTTTGCCAATGTTTCTAGATTGAGACGATTTCTGACAGTCATCGTTTAACCATGTTTCAGGCTGGATTTACTGGAATTGGAGTTGGTGCCGCCTATGCTGGCTTAAAGCCTGTTGTAGAATTTATGACGTTTAACTTCTCTATGCAGGTTAGCGTTGGTTTTTGTTTTATTCTTTGAATACTACATTTTGCCTCTTTCTTTGACTTGATTGTGCATAAATATTATGTTATGCGATCACGCACTCTGGTGCACTATAATTCCAGGCATCGTAGACTTTATTTTCTTTCGGATCTTATTAGCATCGACATTAAAGTCCACAGGAGTTATATTTATTCCCCAATGTGTATCATAATATCTATTGGACTTCTTTCAGGCAATTGATCATATCATCAATTCCGCTGCAAAGTCAAATTACATGTCTGCTGGACAAATAAATGTACCCATCGTCTTTAGAGGACCCAATGGTGCTGCTGCTGGTGTTGGGGCTCAACATTCTCAGGTAAACGCTAACGCAAACTCTGTACAAAAACCTTTCTTCACCCAAAAGAACATGAATAATTTGTTGCTTTGCATTCTTTCAAAAGATACCAGCTACTATGAAACTGATAATGATATTCAAATAGGATGAAGGAACTGGATTTTGTTTTAACATTGGTCAAATTTCCCCTAAATAATTGAGGCATTCAACTGGTTGATTATGACCAAGGTTCTTAGCACAGTGGCATGCAACTGTTTTCTCTTGAGTGTGATAACACGCATGAAACTATGACTGTGTGGGTTGTAGAATGTTTCACTATATGACTAATATAATCAATTCAAAAGTTGTATGTGTTTACGACTGTTAGTGACCTTGTATCTGTATCTCTGGATGTTAAATGGAGCTATTCTGTTCTACATCTTGCAGTGCTATGCAGCGTGGTACGCCTCAGTTCCTGGTTTGAAAGTTCTCGCTCCATATTCAGCTGAAGATGCTCGTGGTCTTCTTAAAGCTGCCATTAGAGACCCTGACCCTGTTGTCTTCCTTGAAAACGAGCTACTGTAAGTAGTATGCCTAATTTGAATTCTGGCATGTAATTAGAGCCTACGGTCACATATCAATACCTCCTGAAATTGATTCCGTCATGCAGATATGGTGAATCATTCCCTATTTCAGAAGAAGCACTTGATTCAAGTTTCTGTCTTCCCATAGGCAAAGCCAAGGTACTGTCACTCGATATCTATCGCCTTCTTTTTATGTGTGTCTCTTTTCATTTTTCTTCTATCTAGCAGTTGGATGCTTTAACGTTGTCTTTGCCTTAACAGATTGAACGAGAAGGAAAGGATGTAACGATAGTAACTTTCTCGAAGATGGTCGGTTTCGCCCTCAAGGTTTGCCATTTCCCCACATTAATTTTAGTGATTGAAATTGAGAACGTTTTTACTAGTTTTATGGCTGTAGCTCAAATATTCCTTTTGGATGATGTTTGCCTCGCATGCTTCGTTTTTACAAATTGGTATTTCTCTTTGTTCCGTCTCTGAATTATTATTTAATGTACCTGATCATAGGCAGCTGAGAAGCTCGCAGAAGAGGGAATAAGTGCTGAGGTATGAAGATTTCAGATTTCTCTCTTGTGATTCTCCTTGAAACCAATACGTGAACTCTGAACTTTTTTATTTATCAAAATGCTTAGGTAATAAATCTTCGTTCAATCCGTCCGCTTGACAGAGCCACCATCAATGCTTCAGTGAGGAAAACGAGTAGATTGGTAACAGTTGAAGAAGGTTTCCCACAACACGGAGTCTGTGCAGAAATCTGGTTGACTTCATTTCCTTGGCTCAGTAGAGATCTTATTATCAGTTGGATTGTAAAATAGTTTTTAAACCACGGATTAACTTTTTTGGTTATGGATCAGTGCGTCGGTTGTAGAAGAGAGCTTTTCATACTTGGATGCACCGGTGGAGAGGATTGCAGGAGCTGATGTTCCAATGCCTTATGCAGCTAACCTAGAGAGATTGGCTCTTCCTCAGGTTTGTTTTTTCCCTTATCTGCGTAGAAACTTGTTCATATGAATATATCGTTCTTTATTGATGAATTTGAGATTTTAATGATGCAGATAGAGGATATCGTTCGAGCATCAAAGAGAGCTTGTTACAGATCGAAATAAAATCGTCAACATCAACACATTTCTGCTTTGATCTTTAAAGGGAAAGGAAAATAAGAAAACGGAGAAAAATGATCTCTCTCTCTCTCTCTCTCTCTCTCTCTCTTTTGCTATAAAAAAAACCACCATTCCTCGTGATTTAATTTCATCTTTTTGCTATTATTCTTCGCTGCAGCGGGTTTCGTTTTTCTTTTTGTCCTTCCCAAATTGATAATTCTAATCTTTGGGGTTAATTGACAAAAAATTCATCGAGAACGCTAGTAAAGGAGTTGACAACACCTGTTTTTTCCATCAAATAATGAATGAGGTGTGCCTAAATCATGCTTTCTATATTCTGGTATTGTTGTTTAAGAAGTGTACGACGGAATTATAATCGAATGAAGTTTAGCATATACTATAATATGGTGATAATGATATGATTGTAATTTGATTTAAACGCCATTGATCAAAACGCCATTGATCAACTCATATGGATAAAAAAAAAGGAAAGGTGTGGGAAAAAATGTTGATGAAGGAGAAGATTACCAGCCTCTACATGACCTCGTCATTTGTAGTTGCTTCAACTACGGAAAAGCTTTGATTTACATTATGTTATTTTGGTATTATTGATTTGAACTCGTTTGTTTTTTTAGAGGAATCTAAATGGATATTTTTTTATCTGCTTCACAATCACATCCAGAGACTTTGCTATGCTTGTGTTGCACAGCAAGAAGACAATTTTAAACCAAATTAAATATTTGAAGCAGCAATCAAAATGTTTGAACAATTCACCGACAATTTTTTTGCAACACTCTTATCACAAGACCACTCTTTGAAGCCTCAAAATCCTATTCAACAACTATACAATTTAAAAGTAGGATTCTAAAGCTACCTGAATTATGTTTTTACATCAGAGTCAAAACCATATTTTCAATTTGGGCACTCTCTCTATTCTGCTACAAAGAATTTGAACTCCTTCAACCAATCTCTTATTTTGATGCACTAATATAACTTCAACTCATTTTTCAATCATCTATCCTATCTCCGGATACCAAAAACTTCTGATCTGCTCCTGAAAAGTAAGTCCATCGATAGCCCGAGCGCTGGAGGAGGTTTAAGTCCCCATATGTACTTTCTAGAAGAAGCCCCACGAGCCCCATCTTTGTTTGAAATCTTTCTCATTGATGTCCCTTCCCCAGACTTTAATGATCTCGATAACCCCAAAGAAGTCTCAGCCTTTGCACCAAATATTGAGCTTCTCTTTGACTGATCTTCCAATGGGTACCCAACTGCACCGTCCTGGTGAGGAGGCGGAAACTTCTCACTCTTGCTCTTTCCATTTGTTTGTGATATTGCTCTCCATCTCTGCAAACACACATTAGCAAGGGGAAACATTACAAAATCTTCTGCATTGAAACGAAAAATTACCATGCTAGATAGTTGATATGTATAGCTGATCTATAAGCCTATGCATATGCATGTATTCTCAATAACTTGATGCAAGCATTGTGACTAAAACTAGTGAATGCGTTGAGAGGAATAGCATATATCTATGCACATATGAAGATTGTATGTTTATGTGCGTGTCCATGAGTGTAAATGGGACAAGATGAGAAATTCCTCACATCTAAGTTTGCTTGACTCTCGGCATTAGCTTCTGGAGCTGGAATAGCTCGTCCAGTGCGATCCCCACGATACCTTATTCTTCTAGCTCCATCTATACCACTACCTTTTCCCGCAAGACCCTTTTGCCTAATGAATGCAGCCACGAGAAATGACCAATTACAAATCAAACTAACTGAGGGCATGAGCATCAAGAAAACACATAAAAGATGTAAAATTACGTACCTTCTTGCCTCTTCGTCCCTCAGCTTTACATTCAGTTCTTTGGAAGGTGGATACTTTGGTAAACTTGAAGGATCACAAGGTAACGGTTCAGTAGTAAAGAACTGCACATGCAAAGCAAATAATATAGCACTTTAATCAGGAGCTTTTGGTTGCATAACATTTGATCACAAACTAACCGATTTTTTTCTGTTCCCAACCAAAAAGAATGCAAAATCTCAAAATCTGAATTTTCATATGTCAAACAATTGAAAGATTGGATGGAAAGGATAACTCACTTCACTACTCAATGCCGAGGTAGAAGTTCCTCGATCAGCAGGGTCTATAGCAAGAAGTGTCTCAACTAGATGCACAGAGGATGGAGTGAAACCATTGAAGGCTTCAGCTACACAACGTTTGTACGGATGTTGCGGCTTAAAAAGAGTTGCGTTTGGCAGTCTGTACTTCTTCCAGTACGAATCTGAAGGGGAGCCACATAATTTGAATATCTTATGAAGTTGTTCGACCTACAAAGAACAAGTTAGGTAGAAAAAACGGTAAACAACAATCTTATTAATTTTCGCTTGTACATTTATTTGTGGTCCAAGATCATACAGTTGGTTTTCAAAGATAAATCAACTCACCAAGAAGTATTCATTGCTCTCTATAATGCAACTCAAATAAGAGGGCCTACACATTTGAATCTAATAGAAACTAAAAAATCCTAAGCAGACTAATTAAATGAAGATAAACACGGTTTTGTTTACCTCGGTTCTTCCTGGCATAACGGGCTTGCCAGCAAGTAACTCTGCCAAAATACAACCGGCACTCCAAAGATCAACACCAGTTCCATAGTTGGTAGCTCCAAGAAGAAGCTCGGGAGGACGGTACCAAAGCGTAACAACACGACTAGTCATTGTTTGCTTTTGCTTCGGGTCATAAAACGTAGCCAACCCGAAATCAGCAATCTTTAGTAATCCATCATTATCTATAAGAAGATTAGAACCTTTGATATCCCGATGTAAGACTCCTCGACTATGGCAATGCTCCAATCCAGATAGTAGCTGCTTCATAAAGCATTTAACCTGAAGAACCAGGAAAATGAAAACTCCATTAAGAATGATCTTAGATATAATTATAATATACAGGATGAGAAGATCATGTTTTTTATTCAACATGTACTTTCAATACTAATCTAATCACTCAACTTAACATTAAAAGTAAAGATATCAATATGCAGAGATAATAAAAGAACCAAATCCAATGAATGGCAATTCATAAAGGACGTTGAAAATTCACCAGAATCGGAAAACATAATGCAAATTGGGTCCACCGACAAATAATTCTAGCATCACCAAAAGCACACTAGAAACAAAACCAATCAGACCATAACATTACCATATGTGACCAAAAAAAAAGTACCCTAAAGAAAAAATAGAAAAACAAAGGGGACATAATAAAAGAAAGAATCAAAGAAAAAACCTGAAAAATATTAAAATCACAAGAATCATATCTACTACATTACACATTAACTTCTTCCTTATCAGCTTATCACAAATTTCCATGCTACTTAATCATCTTCTACTGATAATGCATAAATAACATTAATCATACCTGAGGAAGATCAAACTTGAGACGTTGAGTAGCAGCAAGACCAGAAAGATCATGTTCCATATACTCAAAAACAAGGTAGAGACTACACGAAACCCGCGAAGTAACCAAACCTTCAAGCTTAATAACATTAGGATGATTAAGCCGTCGCAACACAAGAATCTCTCTAGCCATAAATTTAACACTCTCTGCTTCCAAATTATCAAACCTAACTTTCTTCAAAGCTACAATCTTCCCAGTCAATAAATCTTTCGCCTTGTACACATTGCTATAAGTTCCTTGTCCAATCTATAACAAAATCAAAAACATTACATCATTAAATTAAACCAAACATAAAACTAATCAAAACAAAACAAAAGACTTTCTAATTATACCAAACCTTGTAATAATTATTACTTAATTTAATTACCTTCTCGAGCTTTTCGTATGTGGTGGCTCTGCGAGGTGTTAAGTCTTTGATCGAATCGCCGCAAGCAGAAATTAGCCACGGTGGCCATCCTTCCGGCGTACGGAGGCTCATCCCCGGCCGGCGAGAAGAGCCGGCGGAGAAGTCGCCAGTGTGCCATGTTCTCGGCGGCTGAATCTGAATCGAATCTAAACCCTTCTTCTTCTCCCCGATTTCGACTACCTCCGGTACAGAAACAAAGGCGATGGTGGTTGAAGAAGAAGAAGGTAAATCCTCCTCCGTCTTACGGACGTCTCCCGGAGGAGGAGGTTCATCGGGATTATTATGTTTCCGTTTGTCTCCGGTGGATTCTTTGCATAAAACGCATCCCATCGGCTGAATCGGTGAAAGCTCTCTCTCTTTAGCTTAACATTATCGACGAAAGAGCTCAAAGATTTGATTTTTTCTCTTTGAGAGAGTGAGAATCGGATTTTGTGTAAAACGACGGCGTTTTTGAGTGGAGTCGAGTCTTTTGCACGTAGGAGTGAAAAATGGCGGTTTTCCGTTAATAGTTTTTAAGTAAACTAGTGGTTTCACTTTACCTCTCTCTCTGTAACTTAAAAGGTAAAAGGAATTTTGGTATTTGTAAGAAAAGTGGTTAAAAAGTTAAAAAGCCCTTTTTATCATCTGTAAAAAATGAAGCCCAAAAGTTAATTCTACTCTTTTTTTTTGTTCAAATTAATTTTTGACTTTGTAGGTTCCTCTTTATGCTTTTATATTTCCTTTTATATTATTTATTTCTATAATATATTTTACTCTCAGTAGGCCTTTTGTCAACGAAATAAATTAATTTGAAAATGAAATAAAATCTATGTTGTATTTTGTATTTTGTATATGTAAAGGTTTGTTAGACCAAATGCATCGCTACAACTTGGGCCATGTTCTTAAGATTATAAAAATAGAGAAAGTTGAATAGTGGGCTTAGATCAGAGTGGATAGTTCTTGCCCAAGAGCGTTCTTAGACTTGTTCTTCGCTCCACGTGGCACCTTTGTAGTGGCTCAGAATTCTGGAAGACAAAAAAAAATTTCATTTTGGGAGAAAATCAGATTTCTTCTCCTAGGATTTCCGCCGTTTCTCCAAGCGTTCTCTGATCTGAGTGTTTGAGTCCGTTCTCCGCACACAAAAGGGCCGATCCCATCTCCGTCGCCGGCGGTCATCGCCGTCGTTTCTGTTCCTCCTCACTCTTCTCTTCTCTGCGTTCACTCTATCCTTCAAATTGCGTAAGCTTCTTCAATTTTCGTTCTTAGACCACTGATACTTTTAATTATTCCCGATCTATTGGAGAATTCATTTCACCTTAATTGGTCTGAATCACGATCTAATGGTTGCGTCGACTTGATCGTTGTGACGTAGATAGCCTAATTTCATAAGGCCTTGTTCTCATTCGTATTAAAAAAGTGTCCCTGATCTTTGTTTTGCAGTTCGTCCATTTCGAGTGATTTTGGTTTCATCATACAAATTACAGGCCATGGATAAGTCAAGTGCTTTAGAGTATATCAACCAGATGTTCCCAACAGGTGATAGTTTTTCTTCATGAGACACTAGCGGAACAGTCATACTCTTTATACATCGATCATTGGTTTAGAGTTGTTCTTTTAAATCCAAAATATTATGAACTGTTGATTTTTGTTGCTTTTGTAATCAGGACTTGTAGTTCTTCTGCTGATTAGCTGATTGTTTCTGCATATGTGACTGCTTTGCTATGGGTTTCAAATGTGTGTTTTCCTTTACAGAGGCATCGCTATGTAGCGTTGAGCCACTTATGCAAAAGATTCAGGGTGAGATAAGGCGGGTTGGCATTGATTTATGTTGTAGAGCTCTTCTGAGCCTGTTTGATTGTTGGAATCTGTTAGACTAGAGATGGAGTTGGATCCAAAGAAGTTTGCTGAACTATTGGACAAAATTGAAGCTGAAGCTGATGAGTTTCTACTAGCTCGAAATCAGGTACTCGGAATTTTGTTTGGTATTTCTAAATTTTATATTGGTTTTTGGAAAGTAAATAACTTCCTTTAGAATTCGCAAGCTTTTTCAATCTGTTGTTCTGCAACTTCTTTTTGTTTTGTGAGAAATCAGCGTTTATATGATTTATAGTTAGGTTTTCTAACCAAATGGAGCTTGTAATATGTGTAATAGATGGTGGAGAATGACAAGGAGAGGAATGTGAACCGAGAAGCTCTTACAGCACTTAGGAAGAGAGCTCGGACAACAAAGACTAGTGTTCTTTCTCCATTCGATTCTATGATGAAGGATATCCATGGGAGCTCAACCAAACCTTTGGTCCTGGAAGTTTGTTCGACTTGTGGATCCCATGACTCTAGTGAACCAACGTGGATGATGCTCCAAGGAGCTGATCTTTTTGCTGCAATTCCGTTTCATGCTGTGCATACAATGCTAGAGAAAAGTTTTATCTTGTTCACATTTTTTGCTACTCTCTCATAAAGGCTAATGTAGTATCCTGATGAGAAAAATGGTCTACTTGTGCTGTGTGTAGATGAAGAGAAAATGGAGTTAGATTATTAAATTATTATTTATTACTTAAGAACATGTTTTACCAATAATCAACTCATTTAAAAATGATCTACACTCAAGCTCTTACATTATTTTAATACTTAATTTTCCCTAAGATCTATCTTTCAAGTTATACCAATGCATATGCCCTTACAAGTCAGCTTAGATAAACTCCTGCTGTTTGCTCTTTGAGCAGCTCAAAAGAGATTAGTAAGTACAGTTTTTGTTGTTAAATTATGTCAGTTAAAATAAGTTAACCAAATTTATTCGACTTCATAATAGCATAAGATTTTTTCCATTTATCATTTTTATCTACTTTCTCTGTTTCAAAATATAAAAGTTTTAAGGTAAATGCACACATATTTAGATAAATTTTTTAAAATATAAAAGTTCAACCAATAATAAAAAAGACTACTATATATAAATAGTCATAAATTATCAAATGCATTTAAATTTACATTGAAACTTGTAAAACATCTTTTAATATGAAACAAAATAAAATCTTTAAAATATCTAATATAATAAAAAAGAGGGAGTAGTATTTTTAGCCCTTCCAATAATACTACTCAACCCACTTAGTCAATTTGCAGTGAAAGAAAAGAGAAGAAAAACAATTCTCATAGTTAAACAAATCTCATTTAAAGAAAAACTGTAGTAAATATTTATTCGATCACTATAGTTAACCAAAGAACTCGTAAAAAAAAACACTACGAACACCTGAAAAAAATTACACAAGATTATACTTTGGTACTATCAATTAATATGAAACAGAGCATCGTAGTTTCGGTGCGCATACCAAAAACAAAAACATTAATTTGGTACACTATCAATCAATTTTAGTCCTTTAATTCCATAGAATATAATCAGCAATGACAGTTTTTGTAAGATTGACACGTGGACTAAACCAATCCACAATTGAATGTATTCTCTAACGGGAAAAATGTCGTTTAATAGCCGAACTTTCAAAAAATGGCCGTTTAATACGTGAACTTCTTATATGGTCAATTTAAACATGAAGTAAACGTTGACCGGCCAATTTAAACATGAAGTATTCGTTGACCAGGCCAAAAACCACACGCCGTTATCTGTCGTTAACAGATCCGATAATAACCGTTAACGATTCTGTTATTACCTAAAACGACGTCGTTTTAGGCTTAATCGAAATCCCTAAATCCACCAATCGACGTCGTTTTCTTCGTTTTTGACGCCGACCACGAGCTTTGTCTCCGATATTCGGTTGAACTAGAATTCCATCTCTGTTCCATCTCTGCCACCTGGCTCTGAAACGCTTCCGCCGGTGGAGCTTGAACTCCATCTCCGACAACAATCTCAGATTCGCCTCGAGCTTCAACTCCAGCATCCACAACACTCTCTGCTTCGCCTCGAAAATCGGCCTTAAAGTTCTAATTTTGGGGATTTTTCAGAATTAGGGATTTGAAAATCAATTTGGGGATTTTCGGGGTTTAGATTAAGCCCAAAACGACGTCGTTTAGGCAATAACGGAATCGTTAACGAGAGTTAAACGGCTGTTATCGGATCTGTTAACGACAGATAACGGCGTGTAGTTTTTGGCCTGGTCAACGAATACTTCATGTTTAAATTGGCCGGTCAACGTTTACTTCATGTTTAAATGGCCATATAAGAAGTTCACGTATTAAACGGCCATTTTTTGAAAGTTCGGCTATTAAACGACATTTTTCCCATTCTCTAACCTAAAAAGCAACCTCTAGATTCCTTCCTCATGGTTTCACACTCCACTTCACTTATTACCAATAATACTCCCTCCGTGTCATTTTGACACATTTCACACAAATTAAGAAAACATTGTACTCCCTCTGTTCCCTTAAGTTTGATGTTTTGGATTTTGCACGTAAATTAAGAAAAGCTATTTTTTATATTATTTAATTATTTGTTTGTTTGTTTAATAATTTTAGTTTCACTTCTCTCCTCTTCCTATTGGTTACAATTAAAAGTAATAATGATATTATTACAAAACATCAAACTTTGTGGAACAAGAAAAAATCTCAAAACATCAAACTATTAGGAACAGAGGGAGTATTATACATATATGCCCTTATTTATTAAGTAATTAATGGTTTAAATTCAATGAAAAGTAGCTTTGGGTTAAGGGTAAATCAGGAAATGTTGTGTAAAAATCACATTGAAAATATAGAATGACACTCTTTATGAAACAAAAATAAAACTCTAGAAAGACACTCTTTGTGAAACAGAGGGAGTATTACTTTTTTTTGGTCCAATAACAATAATTATATTGTTATTAAATTCGAGAATTTATTGAAAAATAAACATTAAAAGCAACTTCATAATCATCAAGTAATGTTCCACAAACAAAAATTGATTTTATGCAACCAAAAGTCACTTAACTTTTTTGACAATGGACTACAACATGTTGAAGTTTAAGTCTACACAAAAGACTCATTCAAATTCAAGCAATTAAAGAGCCAAAAAAAAAAAAGTAAGAAACCCAAAGACGACGACGACGACAATGCTTATGCACGTTTTGTCGAGGATATAATTTTCTTGAGTTCTTCAAAGACAATTATGTATATTATTAAGTCAGTAAAATCGAGTAACGTTATAAGACCAAAAAAAGTGGGAAATTTGAAAAGGCAGAAAGATGTAATTGAATAGTCAACATTGGAATTTTGGGTAGTTGAGTCATGAGTGGCAAACTAATTTAGACGTTTGGCTTTCTTCTTCACTAAATGCAATGCCTTTAATGGTCCAACCTATCTCTCTCTCAATCTCTGCACACTTGCACTTGACAGATTCACATATGGTTTGGATTTTATCAGTACCCAAAAAGACTAGAGGTTGCTCAATCTGAATTTCTGTGTACTTTTACTTCAAGTTTAGTTCATTTTTGGATTTAGAATTTTAAACTATAGTTACCACAGTACAAAACCTAGTGTAGTATGAATGGTTTGGTAAGATTTTGATTATGATTTGAGTTTAATCATCCATCAAATAAATTACGACATTTATACTTCAAAATGAGTTCATTTTCTTCTTATTATTCAGATTTTAACCATCTTGGTTGTGTATATTGTTCAAATTTTTTTGGAGTGGTTACTTCGGTTTGAATTCAGAGAGGACCGGTTTGGTTTCAGAGAGGACTGGTTTGGTTTACCTGGATTGAACATACCTACAGAAACCATCGGTTCTACATCAAAAACCAACCTAAACCAACCTAAACCAACCAATTCTATCAACCAAAAGACATTGAACAATCATGAATAAACCTGACACACACTCCATGCTCAATGATCTACTAGATAAGATCTTTATGGATATAGCATTGCATTTAATAATTTTTTTTAAGCAGTTTCACTCTTATCAGCAGGCAAGAGAAGAAGCACATAAGAGTTATAAACCAAATTAATATCATATCTAGCGCCAATGAGACCTTGTTTGATAGATCCTACCCAGAACAGAGCTTTTCCAGTGCCAGATTCTCATCTCCACCACTTGATTCAATTGCACTCCTAACCTGAGCATCTCCAAAACCCATCTCCACGAGTTTCCTTACCTGCGGACAAATCAATCCAACACAAACCTTTTAATACACAAACCTTTTAATACACAAACCCTTCTACCACATTTAACCTTAGAAAGTCATTCAGTAACTCACTTTTTCCTCTAGAGAAGAGTTCTTGGCGAAAGTTTCGGTCCAGTAACGAGCTGTTGATACAAACACTTGGTAGTTCTTCATGTACTGTAAACATCAGAGTTAATGAATTGCTTCAAAATGACTAAGGAAAAGGGGAAAAAAACGAAGATGATTAAGATTATGTAGAAGAAGAACCTGTTCAGCTACAACAGCATCTTGAGGGTCTTTGGGCTCTGGCGAAGAGAGTAAAGCCTGGATTGAAACAAGAGCTGTCTTTAGAGTAAGAGCTGGACTCCACTGGTCTTTCAAGATATCCAAGCATATTGCTCCGCTTTGGCTACTAATATTCGGGTGCCTTTGGTTTTGATCAGATCAATCAACAGAAAAATACTCCTTATTAGCACACAATGCAGTTCCAAAGATATTCTTACGATTTAATAGAGAATTGATATACTATCATACGCCAAGTTATAAATGGTAAAATGTCTGTCAAGACTCGAGAGAAAGATAAAGAGAAACGTAAAACAAAGTCAACGAAGATTAAAACTTCTCACCACATATTAGGAAACAAATACCCACTACCAAAACATATATCCGATGAAATAGTAGTACAAAACAATGATTTAAGCTCCATAATAGACGCATAACCAGTTCTTATGTTCTGATAATACTAGGCTTAAGTTCTTTCACATTAACTACAAATACAGATACATAAGTTTGCAGTGATTATTAACATAAGAATCAGAGTCATCTTCTTACCAAACTTTAGTTGAAAACTGCATCTTTGGAGGCTCAAATGGATACCCTTCTGCAATCGAAAAGCCGCTTAATTATGAGCACAACACAAAACCAATCAAACACCCATAAACCTAAAAATCTGTGCTCCTACACCGATTCACAATCAGTCAAGTGAACTAGTCTAAAGATAACACAAGAGTAATCGAGACTCCACACATGTAATTTCAAAAAGCCCTAACCAATCGAAGCAAAATCAAGTGAAGTCCCTAACTTCACTCAACACCACAATCCCCAAAACTAAGTTCTGGGTCTTCGAATTTGACAATCAAAGAAGTGAAAAGTAGACGAATTTGGGTAAAACCTGGCATAGTGATATCGATCTGAAAAGTACCGCCTTCGTAAGGAGTACCGATTGGACCAGGAATGGTTCCGGTGAGTCGGGTAAGGTTATCGGCTTTCGGGCAGACCCGGATACCCGAAGAATCCTGGTTTCTCTCGCAATCTTGAAGCTCTTTCTGGACTCGACTGAAATCTATCATCTTTTTAGAGATCCGATTGAAATTCTCCCAAACCCTAAAGAAAAAGATTGAAACTTTATTATTTGGTGAATAAATTGAGCTTCTTTTCTTGCATCTTAAGCGAGTTATCGAACAGCCACTTTTTTTTGTCCTTCCTTTTTTTTTTTTGGTATTTTTTGTTTTTCACAAGTTTTTTTTTTTTTATTCTTCGTATTCAATTGTGGAAGTTAAAGTAAACCGGAATAAATCGAAATTAAATTCGATTTCGATTGTGGTTATCAGTCGATTGTGGTTATCAGTTAAAATCTGACTTCAATTTACAGACCAACCCCCAACACGAGCCACCGAATCACACAATGACACAATAAATATGAAATTAAAACCGATAACATTATGCCCATGCATATGGCATACGTAACAAAGTTGGCATGACTAAATTTTTTAAAAATAATATGATTAACAATCAAGAATATCAGAGGATGTGTCTTTAGTCAAGTGGTTAAGTCCATTTGACTCCGACTCCAGTAAGTCGCGTTACCCTGCGTAGTAGGGATTGGCTATGGATCGGGCCTTGTCGATCCAAAGATGTCAAAAAAAAAAAAAAAAATAATAACAATCAAGAATATCAAAACATTATCCAATGCACGTAGTCATCGTACGTGAATTATAATAAAATCCAAAAGTAATCAAATAATCCTCTGATGACTCTTTGTGAACTCGTAGCACGAAGATTTGATTGGTATCTCTAAGAGTCTCCGTTAGACTTGGTAATCACGAGACTTGACTCATCTCCTCCTGTGTTTTTAGGTTTTTCTTTTTGTAAAGTAAAGGACGTAATTGACTTTCTTCGACTAAACATACATCCACAAGTTCCATACTGATTGAGTACCATAGTTGATATTAATTGTGAGTCTTTTCTTTTTCTTTTGCTTTGCGAATTGGCTTTGTTTTTTTCATCATGTTTTCGTAATTGGGTATACGATGTGTTCTCGAGCTTCAGCGTGAAAGTTTCCTCAGCCATTTTCTCAAGGAGCTAGATCGGAAATTGATCAAGGCTTTCAAAAACAATGAGAAAGAGAGAGAGAGAAGCCACTCGATTGTCCCAGAGATTGAATACAATGACGAGTGTGGAAAGTCTGAAGATATCAATGTAGAGACATAGAATAAGAGAGCAAGAAACAAAATCAGGGTAAGCATGATGAGGCTCCGATTGGTAACACCGCATAATTATTTAATGACATAAATTACGGAATGAAAATTTACGGAATGAAAAACCGCATAATGAAATAAACATCTATGTACATATATATATATATATATATATATATATATATATATATATATATATATATATTCATTTATTTGCATAATGAGTTTTTTTACTTGCATTTTTTTAGAGGAAAACGCAAATCCTGCGTTTTGCGTTTTGGTAAAAATTATGCAAATTTTCTTGATTAGCAAAATTATTGCATAATCACATTAGAAAACGTTATTCCGCTATTAACGTGTTACGAATCGGAGCCTTAAGTTGAATAAAATAATTTACATATCACATCATTCTCTTTTTCTCTTTTTCTTTTTTAAATCAATTAATTTGATGATATATATATAGATCACTTGAATGTTTATGCAGATGACAATTGGAGAGTAACTCACAAATTTGTTGCGTTGTTCTGTAGCAAATCTACAAGGAATACTTCAATTTGGATCATAGTTCAATGTGTTTTAGAACTTCCATTTTAATCTGGAGCATCTGATTAGTAAACTTAATTAAGAATTGATATATAGTTATATACCACGAACACACCGTTGGTCTAATTGATAATTTGATTAATTTCATCCTTAGAACTTTAGTTTCTAGCGTTTCATAAAAAAAAAGAGAGGTATAAATACGCTAATCACATGCATATTTCGATCACCTTGTGCTTGCTTATAGAGTTGTTTTTCATACAATTGATCAAATTCGATAATTTGGGCTTGCTGATAAAATGTTGTGACGTACGGTTGTTTGTTGACTGAGGCTAGCTTAGGTTTCTTGTTAGCGTAGCCAAATACATATAAGGGGTTTTGAATGATTGGGCTCAAATACTTTAAAATCGATCCAAAAAGCCAAAGGTTTATTGGTTGCATAAATTTTACATTCCTTAAAAAAAACGGACAATGATACCATCATAATCACTATATCATCAATTCATCATGATACCATCATCATCATCATATATACTATTATCATAAGTTCATAACATCTACACAATTATTATTTGGACCAAAAATCGTCACCAAAAATCGTCACCAAAAATCGACGAATTACTTCGTACGTAATTTAGTTTAAATACATCGTTTCACATGTAAATTAATGGATCGTAAAAAAAAAAAAAAAAAAAAAAAAAAAAAAAAAATAAATAATGGATCGTGTAAAGCCACGTACGTCGTAGTTTTATTACTTGGTCTTTTCGATCAAATTTAGAGATTTTTGAGCCATATCTTCAAGAATCAATCGGATGAGTCCAATTTATTTTATGTATAATCTAATATTAGCAGATTCTAATTCAAATTTTTAGAAAAGAAAACAATCTTATATAATTAAACAAAGTTAACGAGTAAGGAGCGTATGGAATACTGAAAGGTGAAAGCTTAACACTCTCAGACGCGCTTACTCTACACCGTGGACTAATTTAATTGTCTACCTGTTTTACCCCTGACACCAAACCATCACACGCCTTAAGTGTGAGGGTAAATATGGTATTTGAATAGAAACCGACAACAAAAAGGAGATGACCGTTTGATAGATCCGCAAATCTCAGGCGTTTCAAATCATTAATTTCCAAATTAATCACAAATCTTAAAAACTTCAACTTTTTTTTTTTTGTTTCCACTTTAAACGATTGAATCCGATTCTCAAGTGAACGAATTCGAAAAACCTCCACTTGCATTATTCCAAGGCAATTTCCAGAAAAAACCCACTAAGAGCGAGTTCTCTGATTCTTCTCTAGTTGCGTAGAACTGTAGAAAAAAAAACCCTAAAACAGAGAAGGGTTTTGATGGCGGCGAATCGTGTGGCGATGGAAGAAGATATTACTGAATCTGTGACGTTAATGGTGGATTCTGTTGCTTCTTCTCCGATGACTCCAAAGACGGTGGTGGTTAAGGAAGATGAAACTCATCATCCTTACGCGTTTCATGTTTCCGGTCCGAGAAATGTTGCTTCTCCTAATTGGAGAGATCTCATCAACTCCAGTTGGTAAGCGCTCTGTTTGTTTTTCACTAATGAAATTAGTTTCTAGTTTTGGGTTTCTTCGTTGATTTTAAGACAATTTGGGATCTGAAGGGATCGAAAGATTGATTTTTTTTTTTTAAGCTTAATCTGTTGTTTAGTCATATTGTCTTAATTACAGAGATCTTTTCCTTTTATTGTAATCTCCGACATTTGTTGTTTTTAGGAGAAAGCTTGGTGTTTTTCACTTGAGAATCCATAAGTTTCCAAGTTTGGCCATGTTATATTCTGCTCCTAACTTATGTGATCTACTTAGGCTTATTATGTTTCTTCCATGAATAAGAACCATTTAGAAACCAAGGAACAAGCTAAACTTTGCAAAGCATTGTGCTTTAATTAACCTTATATGGTGTCTGAAGCTAATCATGTATTGTGAGAGAAGAATGAATACTTTAGTTTTTGTTATGTTGACGAATCTGTTTGATATGAAATGCTAATTAGTCTTAACAAGTTTTAACCTTTGGGCTGGTTTTCTGTATATGTAGGAAGGATCCTAACTACAAGAGGACAGTAATGGCATGCTTTATTCAAGCAGCTTACTTGCTTGAACTCGACAGACAGGAGAATCGAAACGAGCAAAACGCTCTCGCACCAAAATGGTGGATTCCCTTCAAGTACAAGTTATCGCAAACGCTGATTGACGAGAGAGATGGATCAATATTTGGCGCTGTTCTTGAATGGGACAGAGCAGCTGCAATGGCAGATTTGGTTGTCATCAGACCAAGTGGGGCACCGAAAGCAGTACTGGCGCTGCGAGGAACGATACTAAAGAGTCTTACAATGAGACGTGACATAGAAGATGATCTCCGGTTTTTAGCTTGGGAGAGCCTTAAAGGTTCTGTGAGGTTTAACGTCGCTCTCGAGGCGCTGCAATCAGTAGCAACGAGATATGGGAGTAGTAATGTCTGTGTAGTGGGTCATTCATTAGGAGCTGGCTTTGCTCTACAAGTTGGTAAAGCCTTGGCAAAAGAAGGGCTATTTGTGGATGCTCATTTGTTCAACCCACCTTCTATATCTGTCGCTATGAGCTTGAGAAACATCGGTGAAAAAGCTGGTGTTGCTTGGAAAAGACTCATGTCAATGCTTCCTCCCAAAAACGAGCCTCTGATACCGAATAGTAACGAAGGACAGGTTTCTCCTGGCAATGTTTCTTCAGGGTTCAGGAACTGGGTACCGAGTTTCTATGGGTCGAATCAGAAATCTACGGTTGATTTAAGAAAATGGGTGCCTCATTTATATGTGAACGATAGCGACTATATCTGTTGCCACTACACTGACCAGGATGGGGTAACAGAGAAGAGAGAAGTGAACAACAAAGAGAACAATAGCCCTGTTGTAAACACTAATTCTCAAGCAGCAGCAAAGCTTTTCGTGATGTCGAAAGGGAAACAGAAGTTTCACGAGGCGCACGGGCTAGAACAATGGTGGTCGGATAATCTAGAGCTTCAATCAGCTATTCACAGCAGCAGGTTGATCAGTCAGCAACTCAAGTCATTATACAGCATCAAGTAAACATCTCAAGATCCATCTCCATCGTTCAATAAACACATTTGCTCTTATCTTTTTGTCTAAGAACATTTTCTCAGGAAATGTAACAACATAAATGTAAGAAAGATCAGTCCATAAAGAAAAAATGAAGATGGCTTTTTTAAGAAACTCGAATCCATATAGAGTAGTGTGTTGTGTCCCCATCATTGAATCGTTATTAAGAGCTAATCTTTATTACAAAAGAGTCGTTAGAGAGGAACCAACGGGAACAGATCCATGTGCGGATTTTAGATTGGTGATTCACTAATTGAATTGTGCCAAAGAACTTAACGGCTGTAACAATCATATGGGGCCACAAATAAACAAAACTAAGGCCATGTGCTTTCGACCAACATTATCATCAGACAGGACATACCATCACAGTCCAACTCATATTACGCAACAAAAACAGTTTCAAATTGCAGACATTGAAGGGTAATTACACTGTTCCTAGATAAAGATAAACACTTGTGAAAGGATCAAGTTTTTAGGATTTTAGAGGACAAGAAAAAAAAAGTTGGAAGGATCAAATCAATCTCTGATATGATTAGCTCACCAAGCAAATTAAAAAAGATGATTACAAACTCTACAAAGATATTATTATTGTCTACAGACTAATCAGCAATTACTCTCTCTAACTTCAATCAGCCAAGCCTTATGAACAATCAAATCATCAAACAACATCAAACGAAAAAACAAGTATCGCCGTTCGGAAAATATATGATTCTTACATACAGGTTAAAAACGTATCCGCGCAGTCTCTTATGGCCTTGTAAAGACCCCCCAAATCTTACTCCGGGCAAGATTCTCCGTCAATTTTTTAGCTCCTTCGATATCCATCTCCACAAGCTTTTGTAAATGCAAGCAAGCACCAGCAGCAACGACTTGTTTCCTGCATTTCTTTGAAGTAACAAGCTGTTCCAACGCAGAGACTGTGTATATCTTATCCAATTTCTTAATCTTCGGGTCCAAGAGCTGAACAAGACTGACTACACCCTTCTCACTCTTCTTAAAAATCTTTCTGTTGCTCGTGCACACCAATAAAGTTGCTAGAGCTTTAGAAGCTGCTTCTTTCTCTTCAACGGCTTTACCATCTAACATATCAATCAATGGACCAATGCATCCACTTTCACCTAATTCTTTTCGGCTTTTCGAGCTGAAACCTAGCGAAGAAACAGCTTCCGCAGCTGCGATTCTCACACCGAGAACCCCACAACTCAACACCGGAACCAAACGAGAGATAAATCCTTCGGATATAACAACTTCTCTAACAATAGGACACAAAGCTAAATTCTTCAGAAGCACAACTCCAACCTCAAGACTCTTAACATTAGAAACAGAATCCCAAAAACTCTTCAAACACTGAATCCCTCCTTCTCTAACAACAGATATCATCAAATCCTCATCACCACTCGTTAAATTAGCCAAACATCCAACAGCATTCTCTTGAGCCAAAGACGTACCTGAAGAAACCATACTAATAAGCACGAAAATCGCGTTTTCCTCAACGAAATTCTCTTTAGTCTCTACAAACGACGCTAAATTCCTCAACACACCAGCAGCAAAAGCCTGAGAACCAGGACTCCCACCTTGACAAATCTCCAATAAAGACGAGATTCCGCCTCTACAACCAATCGCTCTCGCGTTCTCCTTCGACAAACTCAAAGCCTGTAAAGCAATACAAGCTTTCTCTTTAGCAAAACCACTTCCTGACTCCAATACACGAAGAAGATGATTCAATAAAGACAATCCTTCAGCTATTAACACATGTTTACTACTCTCAACCAAAGAGATTCTAGAAATCACAGCAACAGTCTTCTCCTTCATCACTAAAGAACACGAATCAAGTAACCTAACCAAAACAGGAACAACTCCTTGAGCAACACAAATCATCACGTTCTTATCATCTTCCTGAAGTAATTCAATCAACGAATCAATCGCTGAATTCTTCGATTCAACTCCACCGATCTGCAATCGAATCACTAAATTCCTCGCTTCTAATCGAACAGCTTCCTTCTTCGACGAAATCGAAAACCCCGAGACGACGATTCCGTTATCAATCAAAAGACCACTCTTAATCAAAACCTCAGCATCTTTCACATGACGATCAAGTCTCGCCATCACTGAATCAACCTCACTCTGCGTTTTAAGCTTACCTTCAGCTAAATCTGGTCCTTCACACCTCGCCGCAACGGCAACGGCGTCGTTTAGCGTCTCGCGAACTGAAACGAGAAGATCTACGGCGAGTTTGTTTGAAGAAGAGCCGGCGAAATCGGAGAAATCGGAGAGCTGAGTTTTGAGATCGGCGAGTTTGGCGCGAATTGACGACCATTTGGACTTGAAGCTAAGAAGGTTAGGGATAGAGTCAAGGAGAGAGGTGATAACCTCCGTTAGACTCCGGTCACCGTCGTCGGAATTAGGTACCGGCATCGGAATTAGGGTTTGACTGAGAGAGAGGAGAGAGAGGAGAGAGAGGAGAGAGAGAGTGGAATGGAGAGAGAGGTGTGAATTAATGGGAAGTGTGATGGTGCCAGTTGGGAAAATGCGAAATACAGGGAGGGAAATGAGAGTAGACGCGCTTAGAAAGCGCGTGAGTTTCACTGTTTTGTAGTAAGACTTAACTTCGTCAACCCCAATGATCAGAATCTTCATGCATGTTACGTGGACAAACCAATATCTGTGTTTATTTTTAATTATTATAAAGTTTATTAGTACTACTTTTTTAATTTGGACTTTTTTTGGGGGCTAATATTTGGACTTTTTTATAGGAATATAGTAATAAAGGTTGATTTTGATGTATGACTCTTTTCTTTTGTAGATTTGTCGAATTTTATATGGAAGTATTTTGCAATGACAACTAATTTGCTTAGCAATTAAGAGTCTTTTTAGACGATTTTTAGCCAAGTAGTTTTAGTTTAATGGAAAATTGTTATTTGGGTAGATAAATATTGCTTTTTGTATTTCAAAAATACTTAAAAGCAGCTGAAACATTAATTAGTAGTATTTCTTATTGTATTTCAAAAAGTCAAAATTAAATATTTCTACAATTACTTTTGGAATGACATATGAACAAAGCAATTTGCTTCATTTCATATAATATACTATAAGGTGCTAATTGGGCTTCAGAAGAAAAGGTTGGCCTTTTAAAGACTTGATAGTAAATGACTAAATGTAATAAGAAAATGTCTTATTGTTGAAACGAAAAAGAAAAGAAAATAGTTTTATAATGCAAAGTCAAAAAGCTAAATTAAAGCTAAGAGTTGGTATGAGTTAACCAATGGCTTGAATTTTAAAGTTATGTGCATGCAACTTGGAGTATTATATAATATAAAGTCGATCAAAACATTCGAATATCACATGGGTTTCAATAGATTTACTAAACAGAAAATTTTTGATGTAGAATATTTGTTAAACTTATAAAAAAGACCGGCCTGATGTACCATTACATACACATACCACAAGTCCACAACAATCTGTAGTTGTCTTTGAAACAATAAAGACTAGTTAAGGTTTGTTTTGTTTAGTACTCAAATTCTTAACTAGGCCTGAGGGCCCATAAATAAACTGAAATCTTATTCTTTGTTGCACATTGTTGTTAGTGGGCTTTCTAAAATGGCGGCTTGGTCTACAAGTAAGGTATTTGTTCTTGATAACCCAACTGAACTGATAAAGGCTAAACCGGCTTCTATACTGATAGAAATTAATAATTTTAAAGCTTATGAACTACTATCAGTGTTTCTTCAACTTCAAAACTTTGATGATGTTATTTTGTTTAATAAGGTTGCATTTTTCTAAAAATGGTGGGTTGTTCCTTTGAAGATGTTTACTTGAACAATGTATTTGTGGTTAATTTTTTGACCCAAATACAAAATCATAACCTGACGTTTTTAGTACCGACGGAAAAACATAAGAATATGGATCCTAAATCTTCGAATCCACCCACCCACCAATTTATTTTTTATGTTTTTTTTAACATAATCACATTCACTTTAACTCTGAATTGTTAAATTCTTTTATACTATCATCAACGTTATTACGTACAAGTTGAACATGTTCTCAATATATGATCCTATAGAGTTTATACTTTCACTCACCATTCACTACTTTGAGAGAGATAGAAGAATGGCAATTTCACCGGCCATCTTGGAATGGCTACTATCTTTATAGATTTGTAATAGAAGAATGATTAATGTACACGTGGAAATGAAGTTAGGTACATGCAAACAAAGAAAAAAAAAAAGAGTGTGTAATATATGAGATGGGACTAGACATAATATATAGACATGAAAATCTCTTTACTAACGGCCGGACTGCTCATTTAATCATGCCTTCGAATTGTTGCTTTTATATTTAAATCTTTTGGCTTTATTATTGTGTAATAATGTACAACATTTTCTTTGATCACTTAGGCGTGTTATCAATTGAATTGCGGACCCTTCGCTTAACTTACAATCATTCTCGCATAAAACGTGTCATCAGATATTTAGGGTTGATATGTTTGAAGAGTTTTGGTTAAAAGAGTTATTGGAGGATTTATATATATATAACTAGTATAACATTCGGAAACATATATATTTGCAAGATCATGTCCAAGATGTGGTGCGATTGAGGAATCGATTAACCATGTGCTTTTTGAGTGCCCTCCGGCTCTACAAGTATGGGCTCTATCGCCTGTTCCGACCTCTCCGGGACTGTTCCCGTGTAGTTCTCTATTCTCCAACTTTGACTACCTCCTTTGGGAGGCAAAGAAGCAAGGAGTAACAGCGGAACAATTAGAATCTTTCTCTTGGATTGTTTGGTACATCTGGAAGGCTAGGAACGACAAAGTTTTCTCTAACAAAGATAACCAACCTCCAGAGACGCTTGCATTAGCCCTGTCAGAGACAAAAAGCTGGCAATTGGCGCAAGTTATGGAAACTCATGAAGAGTCTGAAGACGAAGATACGGACGAAATGGAGGCTACTCAAAATCCGAGAGGAGAGATATCTTGTCAGCTGGATGCGTCGTGGGAAGGTAATGATCCACTTTCTGGATTTGGCTTCGTTATAAATAGCCCCATCAAGCTCTTTGGACTAAGATGTATAAACCGGTACCGGAATGCTCTACATGCTGAATTTGGTGCACTCCTCTGGGCGATGGAAGGTGCCCTTCTCAATGGGTTGGTTTCAGTCCATTTTGAGACTGACTGCTTGGGGATCATTAGTGTCCTTGAGGAACCAGAAGATTGGCCAGTGTTTTCTTCGGAGTTAGATATTTTTAAAGGTTTTAGAGCCCGATTTGTTCTGTTTTCGATTTCTCATATCTCTAGAAACAATAATGTCCGTGCCGATCGTCTTGCAAAGAGCGCTCGAGTACGAGGTCTAGTTTTTTCCCATGTAAGCTCTCAAGTTCCGGAGTGGTTGGCTCACGAGGCTAACCTTTTCGAACTAGCTTAATAATAATGGTGTTTTGGTGTCAAAAAAAAAAAAAAATTAACAAAAAATATCAAAACAGGCATAATATACAATATTCCTAATAAAACAAAATCAGAAATCGTATTATTACAAGAAAGAAAATCGAAGTTCTTATTTCATCATGACTAGTTAATTTAGTTAAAACCCTATAAATAAATCAATCGATGAACCATTAAAAAAAGAGAAATTGTTAAAAATGCTCCTTTTGAGATACCCCTTTTCAAAAATACCCCTTTTGAGAGTCCATTTTTAAGTTTGCCCTCTTTTAATTTTTAATGACCATTTTACCCTTATTTGAAACAAAATTAGGTCCACAAAATACAAAATATTTTTTGGCGGGAAAAGTGATCCCGCAAATTTTTGGCGGGAAACGTGATCCCGCAATTTTCCCGCCAAATTTTTTTTTTTTCGGGAAAAGTGATTCCGCAATTTTTTTGGCGGGAAAATTTTTGGCGGGAAAAATTTACAAGGTATTTTAAAGGTTTTACAGAGTATTTACAAGTGTTTTGTAAGGTTTTACAATGTATTTTAAAAGGTTTTACAAGGTACTTATAAGGTTTTATAAGGTATTTATAACTTGTAAAACCTTATAAAAAACTTGTAAAACCTTATAACTTGTAAAACCTTATAAAATAGCTTGTAAAATCTTATAATATCTTATAAATACGTTGTAAAACCTTTTAAAATACATTGTAAAACCTTATAAATACCCTGTAAAATACCTTGTAAATTTTTTCCGCCAAAAAAATTGCGGAATCACTTTTCCCGCAAAAAAAAATTTTTGGCGGGAAAATTTTAAAAGGTATTTTAAAGGTTTTACAAGTTTTTACAAAATCAAATTTGTAATTTTGATGTGTGCACATTCTCATGTTTTCCTTATATATTTGTGATATCTTTTATTAAAAGAAGGGTAATTTAGTCATTTTGTACATAAAAGGGGCATTTTTAAAAATGGATAGCCAAATGGGGCATTTTTGAAAAGGGGTATTGAAAAAGGGGCATTTTGTGAGTCTCCCTAAAAAAAATATGATAGTTGCGTTTGTTTCCAAATTGTTTTTTAATTTTAAATGGACGATATAAATCCGGTAAGTGTTTATTTTATTGTGTAAAATAGAAATTTATTATCTAAGAAATAAAGTTATTAGTGTCATTCCTATGGCAACACATAGATTTAAACCCATCACAATGCATATTGTTGACAAAAAAATAAAATATTTGTTGATGTATAGATATCTATTATATATAATCGTATATATTGTTCATTCTAATTAATATATGTTGTATAAAAAAATTAATTGAAGATGATGGCGACAAAAATTTACCAAAATAGCCACCACTATGGCCACAACTATTTTGACCATGGCTCTTCCGAAGATGATTTTTCACGAATTAAATCCAAAATATTTAGCTACAAAATTTCAAAAATATTGGTAGTTTCGACCACTTCTCAATCTCGTCGATGTGGTGGCTTTGACCACTCCTTGCCTACCTGTCTATAGTTCTTTCAAAATGACCAACTAAACATTGAGGATTATATGATATTTATTACTCAAATTTTTAATTTGTTAATATATGTTTAAATGAAAATAAATGTCAAGAAATGAAAATTATATATACAAATATTACAGTCTAAAATATCCTTTTCAATAATTTTTTTGTATTGGATTTTTTTTTTTTTTTTGGTATTGGAAATACTTTAAACGAAAATAAAACTTAGAACATATGTATTGTGAAAAGACAGAGGAATGGGAGTTATCAATGTGTGACAAGTGAGAGCAGAAAAGCATGACCAAAACTATTCAACAGGTACATTAAAGTGTTCTCAGGACGGAAATCTAATCTTTTCTTCTGACATTATTTTGTAACCAAATACATTGACAGGAAACGATCGAATCATTTATTATTTATATACATGCACAAGTATTTATCTCCCCAATATTTGTATTTATGTATAGGAAATATAACATGAGTGTATGGTACAGTTTACATTTTAAAACATTGGAGGAAAGTTTTGTGCAAGAAATCAGACAGACACAAGTGGTGAAAAGTAAAAGAACTAATAAAAGGTTTATTAATGAGTGAATAATCCATCAAAATTAAATTATAGTACGTACTAAAAAACAATAATTAAGCTGAGACGTCTTCTTCGTTTATATGTCTCTATTTTCTCCAGCGAATTTGCCTCTGCCCCATATGCCGTTCTCTTTTATACATTGCGTTTATGAATGATTATGAGCTTTTTTAACTCTAATACACTTTATTTTTCTTGAAACTCTATAAAAGGAATAAATAAGTACATCCACTTTTACGAGCCCAGGTTAACGTAGATTTTATTCCCTCCATGCAAATGGGAGGAGATTAAATCAACCTACATCCAATAACAATAGCAATAATTACGAACCCACATCAAGATTTTTAACAATTTATACACGAGAAATGTTAAAATAATTGTAATAATAATTAGGTAGTTGAAGAGACAAGACCAGAAGAAACTCACGAAAGCAGGCTTTTGTGTTTGTGTCGACATGTAATTTTAATCAAGGGAAAGAACAGAAGTTGTTGTTGTTGAACCCACTTCTGTCTACAAACTTCTCTCTTCCTTCTCCCTCTTCCTAAATTAAGCAACACATCACTGTCTATTAATGTTCAATAATTGATTCTTATCTATCTTGATCCTCCTTAATATATTATTATCTGAAAATAATCACTTTTATAGAATAAAAGAAAAAAACCTGAACTTGTGCATGTGTGGGAACTATAGATTTATCCAATAGTGAAGGAAAGATAGAAGTAGTTGTTGGCATTGTATTGGTAAAAGACGTTCCTACTTCTGGAGATCCCATCTGCTCATCAAGAAAATATTTTATTGAGATCGATAACCGGCTTTTCGAGATACATGAAATGATTTTGTCGTTAACCGGATTAAGAGATGGTGTGTAGATGAAGTACCTCAGATCTAAGTATGAGGCCATCAAGGTCGGAACCAAAGTCATAGACCACCGGACTTATAGAAGTTAGCTTCATTGAGAGAAACTAATGAAACAGAAAAAAAAAAAAGATGAATTATATATAATTATTATTTTTAAACTAAAATGGTATAATTAATAAATAAATATATAAAATGCACCTCAACTTGAGTCTGCAAGGTCTGGACATAATTTATAATCTCATCCAACATGAGGGCCTTCCCTGTTACCTATTCATTTTCAAGTCACATTTGATTAAAAACATTTTCTAGAAACATTATATAATTAAAAACATCATCAATTTCTAAATAAAAATGTCTCTAGCTAACCTTATCACAGCCCGGAACAAGGTTTTGCAGAGTTCTCATCCGCTCACTTATCTTTTCCCTTCTCACCTTTACATATATATAAGTTTAATCAAATATTAGTTAAAATGTCTTTTATGAAAACATGATTACTGAAAAAAAAAAGTTAGGGAAATGACTAAAATACCCTCTCGGCAAGGCTGTGGCTATCAGTAGCTTGGCCTCTTCTAGCTCGAACGTGAATGTAATCTTTTGGAGGCTCTTCTTTGCTTCCTCTCTTCTGTTTTTTGCTTTTTCTTCCCTCTACTCCTTCCTAACTCACCAAACCACCCCAACATTTATGTTTCTGACTATCACAACCCCATCCCATAGATGATATATAGATGATACATTAACATTACAAGTTGGTTTAACATACCTTGGAGTTAGAAACATTTCTGGCCTTCCTCCCACGGTTTTTTCCAGTGGTGGTGATGGCTGATGGTCCGTGGTCGCAGGAAGAAGAACCGGTGGTTGCGGTTTTGGTTGTGTTGGCCTGTTTCTTTAAACCAGAGTTTTCGGTTCTGTCAACATTATGTTCATCAAGAAATGGGTTAAACGAAATGTCTTCAACTAAGGAACTGTTTGGTAGTGGATGGAGATGATTTTGATCGATGAAACCAGTGAGATTAATGGAGGAGTGAGGTGTAGGGAAGAGAAGAGAATCAAGAAGAGAATGAGGGTAGTTTTGGAAATAAGAGAAAGTTGCCATTTTAAGAGTAGAAGCTTCTGAGTTCTCTTATCTTTGTCGATAGAGAGAGTGTTTTTTTGTTTGTGAGAGATTAAGGACTTGATGTGGTTTATATAGGCAATTGCTTTTGTATTCACTATTCAAAGAGACAAGGAGAAACAGAAGAAAGAGTATTTTAGGGACCACTTGTATATTGAAAATACCTTTTTATTTGAGAAGAGATTACCACCATATTTCGGCGGGTAATTTGTGTTAGATGATATATAATATCGAGATTGTATAAGTAATTGCATTTAGTAACCATGGAAGAGTAAAAATGAACATTTAAGTAAATACCGATGATGAATTTCAAAAATTAGATGACTAAATGATCTTTCATATATCATTCTTAGATATGTTCTCTCTTTTTTTTTTCAAATGCAAACTCATGGAATATATACTTGTCTATTTATTTCATTAACTTTATTACTATATTGGTATCATGATGTTTTAGAAAAAGAATTTATTTCAAATTCAATGATTTTCTCATTATTTTATGTAAACACTTAAAATTTTAATTTCTGTTGTGATTCGTATTCTCCAGAGTTTTATGTTATTTAGAGAATATTTTGATATAGAAAAGATAAGAAATTTACATAATTTGTATACTAAAGGACAGCTTAAAAGGTACAAAAAGAAGAAGGTACAAGTAATACAACTAAAAAAAAAAAAAACAAGACAGATAATGATCAATCATTTGATTAGACTTTTTTTTATAAGAATAAGCTCAATAGCTCATAACGTGAAAACAATAAATGAATAAAAGTACCATTAAAAAGTTAATCAACTAAACCCATTAAATGAAAGAAAGAACGACCAACGTGGGTAGTCGAACTCGAGGAAAATGTTCTCTAAAACCAATTGATGTATATTTGTGTTGACCATCAACTACACTTCAAGCAAGCATTCAATATCGTGGCCCTAAATGAACTATATTTAGAAGTGGCTTAAAGCAAAAGCTAATATATATCATTTATCAATCATATAAATTTTGATTTTACTTTATCAGATTGCTAAACCTACTGCCACAGGCCCATACCTTATATATATAGATCGAAGCTATATGTACAGTTTAACCAGTCGGACATAAAGACTAGAGAGATTACACTATCCAAAATACTGTACATTTACAAATAAATATGTAATACCGCGTGATCTTCTCAATAATGATCTCTATGTGGATACCATAATACTACAATTTTTTTTGTCCATTTTTGTTAGAGAAAATAAAAACTTTTGTTCGTTTCCCACTTTGGATCGACATAGGAAATTTCGTTTTCAGAAAAAGACAAAAGAAAAAACAAAAGAAAAAAAATGTGAATAAGGTGTGAAGTCCAATCCCATGATACCGTTGGGTATGCATAGAAAACAAATAATCATAAATCCACCATTTTGTTTTGATATAATCGGGTACTCTTATAGAAAAATAATAATGGGAAACTTTTACGATAAAGAAAAAAGCGAGTACGTACGTACTTCACCGTTAAAATTTTATCGCAATCTATGTCGACCTTAATTATTTGGACTATTATTATTCTTTTTAACGTTCTCTTTTATCTATTACTAGGACTCAAGACCCCCGCGATATCGCGTAGGAATATATTTCAAAAATCGTTTAAAAAATATCAAACGAAAAATATAATGAATTGTAATAATTTTGATTTTTATTAAATATCAAATCAATATATATATTTTACAAAAATTATGATAAAGAAAACCCTCACAAGTATTTATTAATTATATGAATATTAGAAAAACATTAATTTGTAACTAAAAAACTATTCCCAAATGCAAACAGCATCAAATAATAAACCAAAGGTTACAACGGTTTGATAAATAAACCAAAATATTCAACGTCAAATAAACCAAATGCTACTATGTTAAATTAAACGGTGACAATAATTTATTTAAATATATTTTAGGAATTAAATATTTTTTATAAAATATGACAAACTTTAACCGAGAGACGTGACCGTAGATATCAAATATACCAAAAGCTGCAACGGTTCGTCAAATATACCAAATATTGCAATGGTTCATCAAATATACCAAAGATTACAATGGTTTGTAAAACAAAACCAAAAGTTGCAATGATTCGTCAAATAATCCAAATATTGCAACAGTTCAATTAAATAGTTACAATCTCATTTAAATACATTTTCATAATTAAAAATTAAGAACTAAAAATAATAATTTATGAAAGGTTATACCGACGGTAGATGATTAAACGTTATGAAGATTTATAAAATAAACTTAAAGTTGCAATTGTTCATGAAATAAACTAAATGTTGCAATGGTTCTACTAAATAAGGATAGGGTTTGCCTATTATCATCGTAGAACAAATAATCGTTGTAGCAGGACAAAAAATTGGAGTTTCGAAAAGAAAGACAATATTGTATATAGAGTTGAAAAGGCACGATTTTACAACTATTCGATAAGTCCATTTCGTAGACGAACGTGTCCGTTACAGCTTTAATGTGTAGGGCTCATTTCACTCACGTATGTCCAAAATTATTTAAACCTCTATATTATTGTTTTCCCATGATATCACGTAAATGTTAAATGAATGATATAATTAAGGAGGTTATACTACTAAATATATCCATATGTAAACTATGAAATAAAACCAATTTTATATGTATTTTATTGGTTTACGTAAAAAGAAATTCAATAAAACAACATGACCGTACAAAAATAACTGTAAGAAAAACAACCATAAATATTTAAACGAAAGGTTGCAATAAAAAGACGCAACCGTTTAGATGTGCAAATAGTATTTATTGGAAACGACATTACCGTAAAAAAATAATCGATTAAAACGAAAATTGCGATAAAAAGACGCAACCAAAATAACCGTAAAAAAATAACCGATTTAAACGAAAGGTTGCGATAAAAAGACGCAACCGTTCAGATGTGCAAATGGTATTTATTAGATTGCTATTATATATAGATTATGACACATAGTTTACGAAAACATTATAAGAACCTACGATTAATTATTTATTATCAATTGTATACGATCTATGGCCTGTATATATATTATGATTTTCTTTTTGAGATCAGTTTAGAGCAGAAAGAAAACATGTTAATTAGGAACTAAGAAAACATTATGATTGTATTTTGACATGTTTTTCGTATCAAAGGTCAGCAAGAGAGACTTGTAATTAATTATCATAATCCAAAGATGATAGACATTTTTCATCCGGATGAGGAATTAAGCATTTATTGGCATCATACTTTCTTCACCAATATATCTATTTTGTTCTTTTCTAATCAAGTACTTGCACAAAAACCTTTATTCTTTATCTAACGCATTTAATTAGCGGCTGATCTATGATTCATTTATTTGTACTATGTTTTGAATATTCAAGATCACATTTAAAGAAAAGAATAGGTGCACGAGACCAATTACGAAAGGATGGTAGTATGAAAATGAATCTTGAATTAGGAGATATATTAGGTAGATTACTTCACTCTAAGAAATCGACTCAAATTCTTTTTTCTACCATCCGATATCCCAAAACATGACACTTACAAATGCAAAGAGACAACTTAAAAGTTAGTTTGATAAACAATTGTTATAGATCTCTACCAAACACTTCTTTTATTTAGCTTAATCTCACCATAGTTGTAATTCAAATAATGTTCGAATCTCTATGTTTTCTTCACTATTATCAAAACCGTTTTGTGTCCTTATATAATAAGTGCCATATTATTTGCATTTTTTAGAGAAGTATTGATTTTCTCTACTAAGAAGAATACACATAAATCAACCTAGAAATAGATTAACGTACGGTTCCCTCTACGATATATATTCTTAGAAGTCTCTATCCACATGATAAGGGAGATAACCTTTTACTCACAACCAAATATCATCGCCTACAATGCAAAAAAATAACAAAGAGAAATTTGTTCAAATAAAAAAATTGATGAGTTTTGTAATGGTACGACTCTCCTTTTGTTTTGTTTTTTCCATTCAATTTTACGAATCTAAGCAAAATCTCCCAAGAAGATTTAATAGTACCTGTGCAACTGGCACTAGCTATGTTCCAATATGTGACATCGCTTTCTTCTACACTAATACCAAATTCAACATGAAACGTTTTATCTTAATCCTATGTTATATCAATTTCAGTTTTCCTTTAGCATGGATTCTATTGAATTGTGACTTTACATGATTGTTGCTGTAATAATCTAATTAATGTATGTTAACGTAATTAATTTGAGTTCCTCTTTCGACACCAACTATAATGAGCGATGGCCCAATTACAAGATAACGCCAAAATGGTTGGCAGAAACCATAATTTTTTAACTTTTTATTAAGTGTTGAAGTCTCAGTACATTTTGCAAATCCCATGTAATTTTTCAGTTTAATTACGAAATCAAACCACGACGGCTTTTTCATTTTTAGGTTATACAATGTTTAAAAGGTTTTATAAGTTTTTGTAAGGTTTATAAAGTTTTGAAATCTACGATTAGAAAGTGATAGTTTTGAACAACTTTTTTCCTAATAGTAGTTTTGAAAAGTAGTATTATATTTTTCAAAATTCCTCTTGTTTAATTCACGGATAACCTAATAGTAGTTTTTTAAAACCTAATGATGTGCAAATTAGGTTTAAAAATATGGACAATATATGAAGAAAATCAAAGAATTAGTTCATGTGAGAGGCTGAGAGCTTTTGTTGGTTTAGGATCTCGTAGTAGTCGCTTCCATTTGCTTCAAGCTCATGAAGCTTTTATTGGTTTTCTTCAACTCTCTTACTTCTTTACGGCATAAATTTGACCTTGTTATGTTTGATTGATTCCATGGTTATCTTTGTTTTCAACTTAATGGCACCAAAGCAAAGTCCTTAAAAAGCATGGAAGAAAAGAAGCTACACAATGTCATCTATACATTACATTTTTTCATATATTTAGAAAATGTATATTAATTAAGAAAGCCCCCAAATATCTCAATTCATAACCTTCTCTTGCCATAATTAATTTAGGGGCCAAAGCAAAAGACGAGAAACGCACTTTGCCTTTTTATTCAAGCAACAGGG